TGTTGTGCCAGGCCCATGCCAAATGTTCCCCCGATGCAAGGACCCGGGAGAACATGCCTCAGAGCTCAGAAAGAAGTGTGCTTCCCAGTGCACCCTGTGAGTCCAGGCTTTGTAACCCTCACAGGTGGGGTCTGCACGGCAGACGCCAATCCATGTACCCAACCAGCCCTAGGCAAGGGTCCCTGGGGCTCACAGGACTGCACCTCCCCTGCACCTGTTTACAGGTGGAACGGAGATAACAGGAGGCACCGTCCCCTAGGAACAGTGGCCCGGGTCCCTGCCCCAGGTGTGCTGCTGGTCACTGGGGAGAGCGTGGCTGGGAATAAAGATGGGAAGGGGACCAAGGACAAGAGGGCCCACAGACAAGGCACAGGCCAAGCCAAAGGGCACATACGCAGGGACCCTGAACAGAGAGACTCCCCCCCCCCCCCCCAGGAAACTGGGCCCGAAGGACGTCTTTGTGCCCTCAACCCCCATTCCCCTTCCCTCTTTGGGAGAGGAGGGTGGGGTGGGGAGGAAAGGACTGGTACATAAACCAGGAATGTTTCCTGCAATCAAAGCTCCATGGAGGTATGGCTGATTCCAGATGGGGAACAGGAAATGTCCATAGTGAGTCTGTGACAGCCAGAGCTAAAAAGCCAAGAAGTTATCATAACAAATGGGTCATGTCACAAGGACACTGGAGCCAACATTAAGGACACTCCTTGATCAAAGATGAGATAATTAGAGCATCCAAAGTAACGATGACACAATTGATCATCATAGGTTTATATGTTGATATTTTACTTAACAAAAATCATTCCTCCTAAATAAAAATAAAAAATAAAATAAAATAAAAAACCCTCACTGGGACACCATTGGAAGTATTTAGTGCCCTAATTCCTATTCTAAGAACGAAAGGAAAGAATTAGCATTCCCTCTGCCTTTCTTGTACAAACTCTGTACTTCAGAGTAATCAAACAGCACTAATTGAAGAAAGGAGAAGTCCTCTTTACAAAAGAATTGTAGCTAATACAGAAGATATTATAGGATTAGAAAAAGATTATCACTCTTCAAGCCCTAATGAAAGTATTTATTCAGAGCAAGGTCATCTGTGGATGAAACCACTAGATTAAAAGTTGATAGGGAGCCTTATGGAGAAATTGAGCTGTCATCAATGGAACCCAATGTCTAGTGGACTAAACATTGAGTGACAAGATGTCATAGGAAGCACACTGTCCATCGGTGATAATATATATTTACTAGAGGCCCAGTGCATGAAATTCATGCACAGGAGGGGAAGTCCCTCATCCCGGCCTGCACCCTCTCCAACAGGGGGTCCTTGGGGGATGTCCAACTGCTGGTTTAGGCCCGCTCTCAGAATTGAGCCTAAACCGGCAGTCAGACATCCCTCTCACAATCTGGGACCACTGATTCCTAACCGCTCACCTGCCTGCCTGCCTAATCACCCCATTACTGCCCCCCTCCAGTCTGGTCACTCCTAAAGTGCCCCCCTGCCAGCCTGGCCACTCCCTAACAGCCCCCCTGCTAGCCTGATCTCCCCCTAACTGTCTGGAAGGAAGTTGGACATCTGGAAGATGTCCAGTCACCCAATCTAATTAGCATATTACCCTTTTATTAGTATAGATACCCTTCCCCCTCTAACTCCAATCAAGCATCCAAAGGTCACATCTATTTAGAGGACATTCAGGAGATAAAAGAGCATGCAAATGGCAAATTACACCATTTCCATAATAAGTCAGCAGCGCAGAAAATAAAAAGAAAGAAAGACGGAGCATACTCTAAATAAGAGGACATTTAAGAGAGTGTGGCTGGTGTGGTTCAGTGATTGAGCATCAACCTATGAACCAGGAGGTCATGGTTCAATTCCCGGTCAGGGCATATGCCCAGTTTGTAGGTTTGATTCCCAGTAGGGAGCATGCAGGAGGCAGCCAATCAAAGATTCTCTCTCATCATTAATGTTTCTATGTCCCTCTCCCTTCTCCTCTGAAATCAATAGAAATGTATTTTAAGCAGGTTGAGGAAGGGTAGGGGGAGGAGAGATTGAAAACAAACAATGTGTGGACCTTGTTTGGATTTGAGAAACCAAGCTCTAAAAACCACTTTGAGACAATCAGAGAAATTTTATTATGGACTAGATATTGGAGTATATCAAGGAGTAAGAGTTGATTTTGCAAATGAATTAGTGGCATTGAGATTACATAGGAAGAGTTCATACTTTTGTTTTTTAGAGTTCATATTGAGATATGTAAGTGAAATGGCATGAAAATACCACCCCCAAACAGAAAACAGAAGGGTGGGTGAAGTAAGTATGGTGAGCTATTGATGGTTGTTGGGTCTGAGTGATGAGTATGTGGGGATTCATTGTTCTACTCTCTCTACTCTTGAATGTGTTTGACAGTTTTTTCATTAAAAAAAAAAATATCTTTCTCCTAGCAAAACTTATTGTGGTAATTATTTCCCAAAATGTTTATGTCAATTCATTTTACTGTGTAACTTAAACTTATACAGAGCTGTATATCAATTATATCTCAATACAATTGGGAAAAAAATCAAAAACAGTTTTCTCTCCTATCCTATGGCCTATGAAAAAATCGTGCTTATAGAGGGACTTAAAAATTCTTCTCTGAAATGAGCATTTTCTAAGGAAGTGTACCATGGAGAGATCCGAACTTCACAGTAGAACCACTCCTCTATTGCTTGCTGTTTTACCTTGGGCAAGTTTCTAACCCTCTCTGGGCCTTCCTTTCCCTGTCCGTGTGATCTGCTCCACAAACTTGGTAGAGAGGGAAGCATTCTGTTTGCTTTTTAATCTGATCACCAAATCCCTTATTAGCCATAAGTCCAGCATCTCCTGCTGGACCTTCCATCCGTCTCTCTCCAGTGGGACAGGCCTGGCTCAATGTCAGAGGTGCTTTCACCTCCTGTGACCACCAGGTGGCGACATTGGATCCTCTTCGGGACCCAGCCTAGTTCACACTCCCAGCTTATGGTGGACAGTACTGACTGGCTTCCAAACTGAGCCACTTCAGAACAGATCTTTTAATGTATTCAACAAAAAATACCCAATTCCTATGTGGCAGGCACCGGATTACAGATTTGGGATGTGTAAATGAATATCCCAAAGATCCTTGCTCCTTTCAAGCTCCCTGAAGGGGCATCTTCCACATCCTCCCCTATTTCACCTGAACCCAAGTCACCAAGAAAATTGTCTCCTCCCCTCCTGATGGGTTTTACTTTGGGGATGCGGGTGGGGGAAGGGGGAAAGCATGCTCTCATTTACTCCATTTTAACGCACTTCTCCCCAAACATCAAAGGGCACATCCTGATAAGAGGTGGGGGGAGAGGTTGGGTTTTCTAAACTACCCACACCTGCGCAGGTGCACATGTGTCTTCGATACAGTGCAGAGGGGCTGGCTCTCTGTCTTTGTGGAACTGACCACCACAGAAGTGATCCTTCCACAGAAACAGAGCCATTTCAGATTTTAAAACCATAGATATGCTGTTGTATCAGCATATATCACGGGCCCTAAGATGCCATTGATAATAAACCAGTTTGATTTCAGAGTTCTCAAAATATATTTTAAAAAGTAGTGCATCTTGGAATCCATGAAATAAGGAATTTTTGCGCGACAGTGGAGTGCCCAGTGTCTGCAGTCAGACAAACTCAGCCTCACCATCCGTCACCTTTGTGATCTCGGGCAAGTTATTAACCCTCTATAAAAACCACTGGGGCTGCTTGGTGAATAGTGCGGACCCAGCCAGCAGATGATTTGGCTCTCTGTCCAATAGACTGAAAATCCACACACTGGCCCCTTTTCTGCTTCCTTCCATGTGTCCTACCTCTCCGAACTAAAATCACTGGGTATAAAAAATAGTTCTCACCTTCACATTCTGCTCTGTACAGCTCTGAATTTTTTACTCTTCTACAAGAATGCGTTCCCATATTATTTGTATAAAAGTAAACTAAAATGAATATATTTAAACCACAAGGGGGGAAAGTAAGCCAAGTCATTGCTTCAAGTGCATAAGGTTTGGCAGAGGGCATTTGGCAGCCTTAGGACAAATAGTGGGAGCCCTGAAGCGTGAAATGAGTGTGCCATGCTGAGCATGCCCCCACAGTGCCCGCACTGCTCAGGGAACATTACATAGCAATGCGTGGGCCTCTGGGAGGCAGGCTCTCTCTCTCATTCACCGCTGTTTTCCAGCACCCAGAGCTGTGCCCAGAACAGGGTGGGGACTCAATCCCCATTGATGAAAGTAGGCGTGTTTAGATGAATGAATCGATCTCAGGCTAACTCTTGCAGATGATCAGGTGGAGAGATGAGTCTTGCAGGGAGCTTTAACTGGCCGCAGCTGGTCTGAGGTACAGAGAGAACCAGCTGTGGCCCATAGCTGAGGAGGAATGCCTTGACACATACAGAGCGAGCTGCTGAAGCCGGGCCCAGAGCAAGGGGTTTGTTATGGGAGCACTTGTAGGTGTTTTCATTGGTTGGTTGGTTGGTTGGTTTTACCAACGTTATTGGAGTCCTGATTGCGGCACCAGAGCTAATAAAGTGATGGATTTCACAAGACTTGCTTGAAGGAGGAGGAACGCTTAGCCCAATACCCAGCAGGATCCCAGGCAGGGTGGGGGCAGGAAGCAAGGCCTTTGGCTCAGTCCTGGTGCCCAGCAGCACTGAGGGCCGCCCTGGCTGCTCCCAGCACTAGAAAATAGAGAAGTCAGCTCGTCCTGGCCCCAGTCTCAATGTACCTGGGAACTGCTATTTAAAAAGGCTAGGCCTCTCCAGCTTTTCTCCTTCTCCTTGTTTTTCTGTTCTGGTGGAAGTTTACCATTCCAAGGATATTCTAGGGAAGATGGGGGGACGGGGGAGTGGGGGGGGAAGCTGCCTAATGTATTACAGATCCATTATGCTATTTAATGAGTTTGGTCAAGAAGATTCACAGGCCCAAGTCTCCAACCCGGCTGAAATGTCCCCTCTCGCTCTCTCCCGTTCCAGGTGACCTTGTACAAGAGCTCGGACATGGAGGACTTCGGGTTCAGTGTGGCAGACGGCCTGCTGGAGAAGGGCGTGTATGTCAAAAACATTCGCCCCGCGGGGCCCGGAGATCTTGGTGGCTTAAAGCCCTACGACAGGCTCTTACAGGTGAGGCCGCCAGTGAATTTTCACTTGTGAAACCCTCTGAGTCTTTCCTGGCTAAAGCCCGCCCCTCCTCCTTTGCTTGGAGACTAGATTAGGATAGACGCCTTTCCTTGGGTAGAATGCACCAGTTATTGAAATTGCTGTTTCCTTGTATTTTTAAAAATATATATTTTATTGATTTTTTACAGAGAGGAAGGGAGAGGAATAGAGAGTTAGAAACATCGATGAGAGAGAAACGCTGACAGTTTTTCCTGTATTGATGCCCCAGCAGAGTTTACACTTCTTCAGAAGGGAGCCAGTGCCTTGTTCTCCCACGGGCCGATGCTCAACGTTAGCTCAACGTCTAACCAAAGCTGAACCTGTTTACTTGATGGTGTCCTAGCGTGGTCAGGTGGAGTTTCATGGAGCAAAGTAAATTCTTTGTTGTTGTTTGTTAATCCTCATCCGAGGATATTTTTCCATGGATTCTCAGAGAGAGTGTAAGGGAGAGGGAGACACAGAGAGAGAGAAACATCGATGTGAGAGAGACACATTGATTGGTTGCTTCCCCCATGTGCCCTAACCGGCGGAGCCAGGGGTCCAGCCTGCAATTGAGGTGCATGCCCTTGACCGGAATCAAACCCAGGACCCTTCAGTCTGTGGGGCTGATGCTTTATCCACTGAGCCAAACTGGCTAAGGCCAAGCAAATTCTTCTGTACAGTTTTTAGGAAGAACATTTTGCAGGAAAAGGAAAGGATTGGCATCCATCTTAAAAGTGTGACTGGAATGAGTGTGTCACCAAGCATGAGCAGCATGAGGCATGTTCACTGAACACGTTGATTGGTTAGACAGTTTTACAGCCAATTCTGGGCATCATCTTTGCCATGGCAAAAGAACAACTGGTCTTATCCTGGAAGTATGGGACACTTGTTTTTCGTTGGTGCTTTTATATTTGATGAATGAATAACTATGGACAAGTTACCCTCTAAGCGTGTCTTCCCAACCCATGAATTGGAAACTCTACCTATTTCCATCAACGTAGATTGGGTGAAGAGTCTTGGATGTAATGATTAAACTCATTCTGGAGGTATATTGATTTCTTAAGCAGAATGACACAATTTATAATTTGGAAAAACATACAATATTATCATGGGTGTGTTGGGGGGGGAGGGAAAGATCACAGGAAAGGAGACAGGTAGGCAGGGAAAGACACAGCACCATGCCTGAGTCTGTCATACCTCAGTGCATCCTGGTAGCACCGTCTGGGAGACAGTTTGGATTTGTTGCTCAGAAGAGCTGTCAGAGTTGGAGCTGAAGATTTAGGATGCTGAAGGCGTGGGTCCGGAGACAGTGGCCTATGGTGGGTTTGTAGTAATAAAGAGAAGAGAACCAAGGATAGGATGATAAGAAAAGCAAAATTTAAAGGACAGGAAGGAATAGAGGCAGGAAAGGACCGAGAGCGAGCAGTTAAAAAGGTAAGAGGATCAAAACCAAGGATCCTCCTAGGAGCCCAGGAAGGGGTGTTGTCATGTTCTGGACTGAGCTGAAAGCCAAAGGGAATGACAACCCGAGACACGGCTCCTGCGTGGACAGTTGGGGTCATTTGTACAACATGAGGGTCGGGTCAGACTGGGGAGAAAATGGAAAGTCACGGAATGGGAGCAGCATGCCGATTTTAACAACTTTGGTTGGTGAAGAATAAAGAGAAAGCCAGGACACGCGTGCCTGTGTGTGCTGAGGAGGGGTGGGCTCCCTAGGAGGGTGGTGCAGCATCATGGTCAAGAGGTCGGGCTTTTTGCCCTGCGGCATGGCTCAGGGGTTGAGCATCCATCTGTGAACCAGGAGGTCACTGTTCTATTCCTGGTCAGGACACATGACCAGGTTGTGGGCTCACTCCCTAGTAGGGGACGTGCAGGAGGCAGCCGATGTATGGTTCTCTCTCATTGATGTTTCTCTCTCTCTCTCCCTCTCCCTTCCTCTCTGAAATCAATTTAAAAAGATATTTTTTTAAAAAAAAAAAAGAAAGAAAGAGAGAAAGGGTTTTGGAATCCACCAGACTGCCTGGGATCACACATCCTAGCTCGACCACTTACCCAATTGCTTCTTGAAGGAAAGTCTCTTAAGCACTCTGTGCCTCACTGTCCCCTCTGTACATTGGGGATGATATTCATTCAGCACTTGGAACAGCTGCGTGAGCGAGGCAGTGTGTTTGCCATGGGGGCGATGTGTCCTTGTTCCCCGCTCTCCGGGACATTACCATTCAGTAGCAGGGACTGTGTAAGCCAAGGAGTGTGGTATGGTTTGGCCAGAGCAGGGATGGACTGATCTGTACAGGTGCAGCTTTGAATACCTTTAAGACTACACCTCATGCCTGAAGGGCGCCTCTGGGTTTGGGAATGACTTGAGCATAACCATGACTCAGGATGGCCCTCCTTGACCTTTCAGGTTAATCACGTCCGGACGCGAGACTTCGACTGCTGCCTCGTGGTGCCCCTCATCGCGGAGTCTGGTAACAAGCTGGACCTGGTTATCAGCAGAAACCCACTGGCCTCTCAGAAGTCTATGGACCAGACTCTGCCGGGAGGATGGAGCGAACAGAACAGCGCTTTTTTCCAGCAGCCTAGCCACGGTGGTAATTTGGAGATTCGAGAGCCCACTAATACATTATAGCAACGCTTTTTATAAAGCGGGACCAAGACAATATCAACATGGTGCTAAAAAAAAAAAAAAAAAAAAAAAATCCCTTTAAGATTTCTGTGACGTTTGAAGCACAGATAATCACGTGGCATTAACTGCAAGCACAGGGGTCTTTTAAATCTCTCTCATGGCTCATGTTCACTTCCCTTTCCGCGTAGAAGAAGTTTCTTTTTTTGGTGATCACCATGGTATGTGGAAGACGATTCCCTGCCAACCCCAATGGTAAAGAAACAGAAAAAGAGGTAGGCCGCCCCTCCCACAATTAACATTGGAGGGCTTTTTTTTTTTTTTTTTTTAACAAGTTCACCTTCCTACCGATTTTTGGAAAATGTCTGTTTGAAAATAGTCTCTATGATAATTTCCTTCACTCACTTTGAAATCAGTTTCTTACTGTGAAGTCATTAATCCGTCAAGCTGGCTGTACTGGGGGAACTGGTTTTGGTGACTGCGGGCTGCTGCTAGGGGAGGGGTGCAGGTAAAAATTATCCTAAGACGTTTCCGCAATAATGCACGTGGGAGCTCCCAATAGGTGGTGGGAACTGTTTTTGCCCAAGTATAGGAATGACTTTAAGATGTATGCTATTCCCTATGCAACAAATGATCAAACAGGATATGTCTTGTTACCTGTTGGTTTTTTTTTTGTTTTTTTTTTTTTCCTTTCAGGACACATTTTTAAATAGCTGCAAATCTCAGATAATGAATTAGAGTGTTTAGTAACACTGAGAGTTAGTTATCTTATTTTTAAAAATTCAAGACTTAAGAGTTTAAGAATGAAGTCTTATTAAAACGGGGTTTCTCTTAAGGATAGGCAAATCAAACTCATCTTGCTTGCCGTGTTTTAAAAAACAGGTTCGGTTGAGGGGTGTACAGCACATGGACTTAAAAAACGACACGGGACTGTCCTTTGTTCTGAGCCATGCCACGCACCGGGACTGTAAATACACTCTCCACACCACACATTGCCAATTGTCACCGTCCCTCAGAGCAATAAACTGTGACAGTTGCATTCGATGTTTGTCAGCAACTGTTTTCCTTTGTTCAGATATTTTGAATAGTTACACGAATAACTGTTATTTGGTGAATATAAAAAGCAAATAGGTCTGTATATTGATTGTAGAATATCCATATTGAAACAGTTATTTTCCAGACGTCGTTTCATTTTGGTCAATAATTCAAAAGACCGACCGCTTAGATGAAGCATTTGAACACTGTGTCCTTTGTTTAAGGAAAAAGTTCCTTTCTTTCTGTGCAGAGAAATATATCATTTCGATCACATTTCAGGACCGCCAGGGCAAGGAAGGATAAAGCAGAATCATGTTAGAAAAAAAGAAAAAAAAGATCATGAGTCACTTAAATATGTATTTTTATTTGTAACAAACAAGTATTAAACTGTAAAGTATTTTTGTACAAATTTAATACTTTAATAGCATGGTATTTATCGTCTATGTATGGTTTTGGGGAATTCAAAATTGTTGCAAATTATTTGTATGGGGAAAAAAAAAAAAGAACAACCTCTACCAAATGGAATAAACAGTGATTTTAAAAAGCCAAAAATATAAGACATGCGTTTTTTGGATGTGTTTTGGAAGTGTTTTCATGCTCTAGCCCGAGCTTTACACAATGCTTATTGCTACATGATTTTTAAAGGGGGCAGTGTTCTATAAACTTGAAAAGCAGCATGGGAGAGTGGGAAGAGCAGAGGTTTTGAAATCAGACTTGGGCTGGAATGCAAACTCACCGGTGACATGAAATTCACCGCGAGTCAGTTTCCCCACCTGTCACCCCGAAGGCGGTGTCTGCTCTCCAGGACTATTGTGAGGACACGGTGTGAACACACGTGTAAGTGCTGGAACAGTCTGCCGACAGGAACACGCCCAGGATGAAGGCGTGTTATTTTATGTAGCACCTGCCCTCATAGAGCATACATGAATTCTATGAAATAGTTACATAAAGTATTAAAAATATACAAATTTTAATTAGTCTATCTTTAAACAAACCCAACTACACTAATAGCCCCAACGCTTCCATTTTTGTAGATTGCCTTGCAGACCTTGTAAATTCACAGGAACAAGACAAGCATGTCCATTCTCACCACTTCTGTTTCAGTTTATTAAAAGTTCTAGCCAAGGCAGTAAGAAAGGCACCCAAGATTTGAAAGAAGTAAAACTATATTTGCAGATGATAGAAGAACTTGTGCTTCAAAGGATACCATCAAGAAAGTGAAAACATCCACAAAATGTAAAATTTCTTGTTGTTGTTGCAAATACTGTTTCTAATAAGGGACTTCCATGTAGACTATATAAAGAACTTATATCTCAAAGATAAAAATAAAAATAGCCCAATTTTAGCAAAAGATCTGCATAGACATTTCTCCTAAGAGGACCTGCAAATGGCCAAGAAGCACATGAAAAGATGATCAATACCATTAGCCACAGGGAAATGCAAATCAAAACCACAATGAAATATCAGTTTACACCCACTATATGATTACAATAAAAAAGTCAGATAATAAGTGCTGGCGAGGATGTAGAGAAACTGGAACCCCCACACACTGCTGGTATAAATATAAAATGCTGCAGCTACTCTGGGAAACAGTCTGTCAGTTCAAAAGGTTAAACAGTTACAGGAAGAGCCAGCAATTCCACTCCTAGGTGTACACCTTACAGAAATGAAAATACATGTCCACACAAAAACTGGTGCACAGATGTTGGGAGCAGCATTAGTTATGATTGCCAAAAAGTAGCCTAGCCGGTGTGGCTCAGTGGTTGAGCATCGTCCTATGAACCAGGAGGTCATGCTTTGATCCACAGGCAGGGCACACGCCCAGGTTGTGAGCTTGATCCCCGGTGTGGGGCATGCAGGAGGCAGCCAGTCAATGTTTCTCTCTCATCATAGACGTTTCTATCTCTTCTCTCCCTCTCCTTTCCTCTCTAAAATCAATTAAAAAATATATTTTTTAAAAGCCCAAAAAATAGAAACAGCCCAAATGTCCATCAACTGATGAATGAATCGATGTGCTATATCCATACCACAGAACGTTACTCGGTAATAAAAAGAAATGAAGGCTTTTTGCTTTGTGGCATCACTGAAAGCAAGATGGGTCGCCTGAACTCTCTGGAGCCGCCTGCACAGATCAGCCCGGGTCCCAATCCCGCCCCATCAGCTCGAACCAGCAGTGTGACGGAGAGACACGGCCTCAGAATGTGCGGCCTGTTTTCCCAGCGGTCCACGAAGGACACAGGCTTCAAGTTGGATTGAGTGATTGTCCTTGACTGGATGACCCAAGGCAGCTGCCCAATAAAAGAAACAATGCTTGCTTTTTAAACATAATTATTTTTAAACCCTTTTTTTAAAAAAAGAGAAAAACATTGATAGATACATACAATATGGAAGAGTTCTGAAAATATTACACAAATCAAAGAAGTAAAAAGAGTCTGTCGTAGAGATAATGGATTAGCAGTTGCCTAGGGCTGGAGGGGAGGAGGGTATTAGAGCTGAGAGGTACAGGATTTCTTTGGGAGATTATATTAAAATATTTAAAAATTGAGTGTGGTGTTGGTAGCACAACCATGAATATACTAACAGCCACTCAACTGTGTAAATGGGTGGAACTGTAGGTGAGTTTTATCTCAAAAAGGCTATTTTTAAAACAGGGCTTAATAGGTAAATCTTAATTATTCATTTTACCATTTAACAATAAATAAAACTCTAGAAAAAGAAAAATCACTTGAGAAAATTTTTTTCCAAAGTAGAATATCTTTAAAACAATGTGCTCCCCCTAAAAATGATAACTATGTGACATGATAGAGGTGTTAGTTAATGCTACAGTGGTAATCATATGGCAAAATGTAAGTATCAAATCAACAGATAGTGTACCTTAAGCACAGTGCACCAATGCTACACATCAGTTATATCTCAAATTAAGAAAATAAAAGCCAGTGTGCTCCCTACTCAAAAGGGGTTCCCAGGAGAAAGCCCCGGTGAGGCGGAGCCAGCGCAGGGACGGAGCAGAGGGCAGCCTGGAGGGGCGACCCCTGTGCGGAGGACACGCTGTCTGTCCGGCAATCGGGGCGGGAGATGCAGTGCCGTGTGTCTCCACCACCACGTCATCCTGTGGGCGAGGGTCACGCACAATGATCGTGGGAGTTAATGAGGCATTATCCTGAAATAAAACACTTTTCAAAGTACAGAGTTTTAAAAATATATATGACCTCATTTTCCCTCATTTATGTCCAGTGCTTTCAGGTCTCATGATGACAGATATTGAAATCATTAAGGTTTCCTTTGATCAAATGAATTTAAAACAGTGGCTACCACGAACACCTTAGAAGAGAACTCCAGTTATAGACATCTTCTTTTCTCGTGATACTTTGAAGTGATGTTGTTCATTTTGTGTTGAATGGAAAAAAAGAAAAACAGACAAATGATGGTGGGCAATCTGAAATAAAATTAAGTTTCTTGATTGTCGGTGGGCTTGAAAAGTCGCCTGGGGGTTAAATTATTTAGCTTCAGATTCTGAAGTTTGGAAGACACTTGTGGAGATGATTCTTCCACCTGTTGGGGGGAAAAAAAAAGAAAGAGGATAATCTTAAAAGTGTGGTCAGTCTACTCTCTGCACTTCTCTTCCCTCTGATTGCTTCTGCGGAAGAGGACACATTTCCCCCATCGCTGGGAAGACGCAGGCCGGAGCCAGCAGGTGTGTAGGTGGTGGTGCTGGAGCGAGGGCGGGCTGTGGACTCGCTCCTGTCTTTTGCTCACTGTGGAGCCCCGGTCCCCGCTCTGGCTCGGGCATGGAGAAGGGACTATTTGCTGAATGAGTCCATAAACCTGGTTTCCAAAGGTGTGGACAGGGCCCACTATATATCCTGACAACCCCGTACAAACTTAAAAAGAGGATCCCGTGTTCAGAAAGTAACCATTTCAAGATGATGCCTGCAGAACATGACAGCGAGAGCGGATCCTTCTAAGCACAGAGGCCTGGCTGGCTGACCGCCCAAGCTGCTCGTCGGTGACGCCGCCCTCGGTGTGGCGAGATGAAACGCCGCATCGCCCCTGCAGCATGTGGGTACAGGCAGCGATTCCCAAACCACCGCCAACGGGCCAGGATGGGCGAGGCCACGGTACCTACATATTTATTTTGTCAAATGTATTTCTAGACTTTCCCATGAAGGTCATTGTTAGATGAGATAACATTTAAATCAGGAGACTGTGAGTAAAGCAAATTGCCCTCCGTAATGTAGATGGACCTTCAATCAGATGAAGGGCCTTAACGGGAAAAACGCTGGCCTCGCCCCAGGTCTCCGGGCCCACTCTGGAGACTTTGAATTTGCCAGCCCCCTCGATGGCAGGAGCCAATTCCTGAAAATAAATCCAGGTAGATATATAAACAGACAGACAGACAGACAGACATATCCTATCGGCTCTCTTTCTCTAGAGAACCTTGACTAATACAAGGATGACCTTTGTTCAGGAATTATGTGATTATATCTTTCCTGGATGTTTTTAAGTTAAAATGTCACTTTCCCTTCAAAAAATCTGGAAATCACTGCTTTATGTGATAAATTTGAAAACGTTTGCACATGTGTTTTCATTTAAAAGGAGATTTCTGGCCAAAACCGGTTTGGCTCAGTGGTAGAGCCAGAGAGGGATCTGTTTTCCTCCCTCCGCATTTACGTCAGTGACTAGAAGAGGATCAAAGTTTCATCAAATGCCGTACGAGGGCAGGCAGAGAGACTAAGGCACCCAAACCCAGTCGCACAGCAAAAGCCCAAAGGAAGAAATGAGAGTAAGTTCTGCTCCTTTCAGTGAATGAGGACGAGCTGGACACAGGAAAAGAGCAGTGGGGAATAAATGACGCTGAGAGCTGGCGTTAAACTATGCAAGGTCTCAAATGCCCAGCTAGATAGTCTGGAACTTGTGTGGAAGGCTCTTAACACAGGAAAGAGCTGAGCACTTAAGGGGGGTAATTGGTAATGAGGTGTAGGGTGTTCTAGGAGGATAGGAACAAGGGGGGAAGGTAGCGGGTCAGCAATCCTCCGAGAAGATGAGATAAGGCTCTAAAACTGCCCAGACTTGATGGAACGAAAGTAATTCCTGAGAGCTACATTTTGCACTAAATCTATCAGCAGGAGGTGGAGGGTGAAGACAAGGTGGGTCCGGCTGTGGAGCTGGGAGAATGCCGTTTGAAGTGGCGAGAGCAGAAAGAAAGTGTCAGATGCTGGGCTGTGGTCCCAGGAAGTCAAACCCAGGAACACAGCCGCAGCCTGGGGTGCCGGTTCACCCCTGCTCTTAGTGCGGAGAGCGTTCAGGGAAGCACAGTCTTTGTCTCCACCAGGGGCCACTCACACGCCACTGAGTCCCCAGCACCTGAATGCAGTGGGCAGTTGAGACTATTGGTTAACACTGTGGTCGGCAAACTGCGGCTCTCGAGTCACATGCGGCTCTTTGGCCCCTGGAGTGTGGCTCTTCCACAAAATACCACGGCCTGGGCGAGTCTATTGTGAAGAAGTGGCGTTAGAAGAAGTTTAAGTTTAAAACATTTGGCTCTCAAAAGAAATTTCAATCGGTGTACTGCTGATGTTTGGCTCTGTTGGACTAACTGGGTTAGCACATCATCAGTGCAAAAGTGACAGCCGAAACCTGGAGAGTGGAAAGGGTCCCCAAAGGAAAGAAGAACCGAGCCCTGGAGAGGGAGGGAAGACAAGATCCACGATGCGGAGAGAAGAGGTGGGGGCGATGAGATAAAGGTGGGGGAGATGTGATACGGCACCACTGGAAGGGAGGGAAAGAAACACGAAAACTGCAGCCGCGTGTAAAACTACTAGAAATGCCAGGGAAATAGTCAAGAGCAAGATCTAGGGCCAGGCCTCTAGGCTGACAAGATGCCTGGAACCAGCCGCCTCCATGGAGCTGTGAGAGACAGGTGAGACCAGGCCTACAGGGGGGAGGGTGGAAGATCTGCAGAAAGAAGGTGCAGCAGACACAGCAGCCTCTCCTGCAAGCCCATCGTTGAGGCCACCTCACCTGCCAGCCTCGGGCAGAGAGAGAAACAGCCAGGACCAGCAGGGCAGCAGAGAGGACACGACAGAAGTGAAAAACGCCGGTTCCACATCCGACAGCCAACGCAACACGGACAGAAACGCTCGGCGCCCTGGCACGCATCAGCAACTGCAGGGGGCGACAGGTACAGCCTGAGCACGTGAGAACACCACTCGTACCATGAGGACTTTGCTGGGACTTTCATCAGCCACGGCACAGGCTCTTTTGGACCCTCGCGGCTGGGCTGGATCTCCGCCTGCATTCGTTTCACCAGAGAAAGGCACTCCCCGCCCGCCAGAGGCGGCGGCAAATCCCGCGAATGCGTCGAACGCAGCGGCAGAGGCCTGGACCTCGCTGGTCCCCGAGAAGGCGGCTGCAGGGAACGGTGATGCTGGCGGCGGGGTGCTGGGGCATCTGCCGTCCTCAGAGCCCTTGGATGGAGATGCACCCTCCGCCGGAGACTCGCTGGAGGAGAGCCAGTCTTGCAGGAAATGCTTTAAACGCGTTTTTCTGCGTACGTTGTTCCTGGAGATGGCGCTCCGGAGATGAGCCTCTTCGGCAATGACGTACACCCGGCTGCGGCCGCGGGTCACCGCCGTGTACACGTGCTGCCAGTCCTGGCGGCCCGCCTTGCCCACGACGTAGACCACGGTCTGCTCCTCAGAGCCCTGGCAGGGAACAACGCATCGGGAGACTCAGGACTGCGACAGAGGTACGGACAAGTCCTCCAGGTACCACTGCCCGCCGGACTGTCCACACGGGTGGGGCCCGGCCTCCTCATCCCCCGAGAACCTGTGTTGTCTAATTACGCTGAGAACTTTAGGTCTCACAGATCCACGTCTGGCTTGTGAAAACCCAGAAATAAACTTCAAAGTCTGAGTACAGTGCCAAATAATGAAATAACTTAAAATGGTTGTATGAGCTGGTGTATAAATATATTATCCCCACTCTTACTTTATATTACAAAAAAAACAGACATTTTAAAAATCCAGTGGTAATATCCTATCTAATGAAAGAGTAATATGAAAATTGTCACTCCAAGACACAAGATGGCCGCCCCAATGTGGTCAAAGATGGCTGCCCCCATGTGGACCCAAGATGGCTGCCACAAGATGGCCGGTAGGGGAGGGCAGTTGCGGGCAGTTAGGGTTGACCAGGCCTGCAGGGGAGGGCAGCTGGGGGGAACCAGGCCTGCAGGGGAGGGCAGCTAGAGGGGGGACCAGGCCTGCAGGGGAGGGCAGCTGAGGGGAGGACCAGGCCTGCAGGGGAGGGCAGTTGGGATGACAGGCCTGCAGAGGAGGGCAGTTGGGGGCAACCAGGCCTGCAAGGGAAGACAGTTAGGGGCTACCAGACTGGAATGGGAGGGCAGTTAGGGCCCATCGACCCTGCCAGGGAGCAGTAAGGCATTGATCAGGCTGGCAGGGGAATGGTTAGGAGGTGATCAGGCTGGCAGGCAGAAGTGGTTAGGGGAAATCAGGAAGGCAGGCAGGCAAGCAGTTGGGAGCCAGCAGTCCTGAATTGTGAGAGGGATGTCTGACCATCAGTGTAGGCCTGATCCCTCAAGGAGTCCCAGATTGGAGAGGGTGCAGGCTGGGCTAAGGGACTCTCCCATGCACAAATTTTGTGCACCAGGCCTCTAGTGTGTGTGTGTGTGTGTGTGTGTGTGTGTGTGTGTGTGTGTATATATATATATTTTATATTTATATCAAGTATCTACATATAGATATATGATATACTATTTTGCAAACATCAGATACTTTAAAAATAACAGAACTTTAAAAATTGAATATATATATATATATTTTATATGATTACAACTATGTAACACAAAATAAAATTACTCTGATCCAAAAAGTACCTATAAAATAAACATAAATATGTGACAAAACAAAATAAATCACAAAAAAGGAAGGCAATTCTATCAAAATTATAACTAGACTGTCTCCAAAATAAAAGGCCTATGGATCATTTTTTTGTTCTACTTTTCTGTATTTCCCTTTGTTGAACCATTCATTACTTTATTTCAAGATAAACAAAAGTTTAGCAAGCCAAGAATGGTGCAGGCAAGAAAAATGCCAGGTGTCACCATGTAACTGAGAAAAACATCATTTTGTAGCTATTCTTAGCCCCTTTATTTCCTGCGCCACGTGAACTAAGAAGTGGTTTGAACCATTATCTCCCTGAACGCTCCCACATTCCTCTGCCAAAGGGAAGACTGTGGGGAGACAAATGACCAGAGAGGCACACAGAAAATACAGATCTGCAGTTAAAACAAAAGAACAACCTTCTATACAGCAAGCACTTCTATCTCCGTAGACACCAGGAGTTTGAACTAACTCTTCAGATGATAAAAGTTTGACAAATGCTATCTTCCAGTGCTGCTCAGCCTCAGAAACTGACTCAAAGGATACTTGATTAGAGAAATGCTAAATACGTTCCACAGATACACAGCGCCGCTGCTCCTCTGGACCTTACACTGTGTGTTCCTAAACAGGTCAAAGTCTACCTACACTTAGCCAAGTGCTTACCCTTCATTTTAGTAACATAAGAAAAATTCCAGAGCCTCATAATCAGTGTCCCTGGATCACACTTGCTACATTCCGCTGCCCTCAAAGGCAGCTACAGTGATGCTTGTAAAATGCAAATTCAATCACATCAGACTCTTCCTGTTTAGTGTAAAAGCAGTCACAGCCAACATGTAAATGAATGAAGTCCCCATGAAACTTTATTCACAAAAACAGGTGGAAAGCCAGATTTGGCTACTCTACTGAGTAATACATATTCCTAGAAGGCCTTAGGATGTTACCTATCTCCCTTTCCCCTCATTTCTTCTCTGACCTCATCTCCTGTCACACCCACTCTGGCCTTCTTGCTGTTCCAATTCTTCAAATATACCCAACAGGCTCCCACCTAAGGACCTTGACCTTGGCTCTTCCCTCTACTTAGAATGTTCTCCCAGATACCCACATGGTTAACTTCTTTACCTCTTTCAAGTCTATACTCCAATGCCACCTTCTCACGGAGGCCTATGCTAGACCACATATTTAAAATCATAACTGCAACCCAGCCAGAGTGGCTCAGTTGGTGGACCATTGTCCTATGCACCGCAAGAGTGCTGGATAGATTCATGGTCAGGGCACACAGGGAAGGCAACTAATCAAAGTTCCTTTCTCACATTGATGTTTCTTTCTTTCTCTTTCTCCCCACACCTCCCTTCCTCTCTCTTTCCCTCCCTCCCTCTCTACCTCTAAGCATGTCCTCAGGTGAGGATCAAATAATAATAATGAAATAAAATTACAACTGCAGCCCACCCCTTTTCCATTGCATCTACCATCCCCTAACATAATATGTAGTTTACCTTCTTAAGCAAAATGATAACAAGATAGAAAATAAAAGAGATTGATAAGAAACTGAGATAACCACTTCTGGAGGTCCAACATAACTGAGGTCCTAGAAAGACAAAACAGAGGAAACTCAGGACTTGAGATCTTAATGAAATTATTCCCATAAAAAAGGTCCTAGAATTGAATGATATGAGTTTTCAGAAGTATAGAGTCCATGGAAGAAATTTCTCCAGGATCTCACAGCCACAAATACTAGCACTGCACATCTTCATAAGTGGTGGTTTTTATCCAATAGAAACAGTCAACTGACTTTCTTTCTTGTTTGAGGGAATTTAAGGTCAAATCTGCCTTAAGTTAACATCTTAAATAATTTTGGTATTTGTCAAAAAGAAATTATTGTTGGAGCAATGTTATTAACTAATCTGTATACTTTGCTTGGGTTTCACCAATTTTTCACTGTGCTTTCTTTCTGTCCCAGGATCTACTGCATTAGCAAGGAAATAGGTTGGTGTGTGTATAAGCATTCCAACCTAATCCTGGCAGGAATCCTTGCACCATCTTTACCTTTATTTTCCACTTGATGTCATTTCTTTTTAAAATATAATGCTGAATTGTGGACATTTCTGTAGTTATTTCAAATTCTTTTTGGAATTGAGATGGGGTAAGTTAAATCTAACACCATTCACTTAAAAAATAAAAATCCTACACTAATTAATACCTGCCTACTTGTAGAGAGAACATAGGCTGACCTAAATTTTTCTGTATAAAAATGGAAGCTGATGAAATTTCATCATGAAAACAACATTCCAACCTCAGAGAGAGGAGCTCAAAACAATGAGATAAATAACAGAGCCACTAATAACTTAGGAAATTTAAGAGCATTAAAGTAGAGTTGCACTCACTAACTGCAATGTAGTCCAAGATTAGACTGGGTGAAGAGTATATGGGAACTCTCTGTGCTATCTTCCCAACTTTTTCATAAATATAAAATTATTCCCAAATAAAAAGTAGTTCCCTCAGACTGTATGGCTCCGTTAGTTGGGCATCAGCACATCTCCAGGAGGTTGTGGGTTCAGGGCACATGCCCAGGCTGTTGGCTCAATCTCCCGTAGGAATTGTGCAGGAGGCAGAAAATCAATGTTTCTCTCGCTGAAGTTTCCATCTCTCCCTCCCTTTACCATCCTCTCCCTGAAATCAATAACAACATTTTTCTTTTAAAGTGGTTGCCTCACAAGGGTGGAGAAAGAAGATACATTTGTCAAAACTCATCTAACTTTATAATTACAATGTGTACGTAAATTATACCCAATAACAGTTGATTACATAAAAATATAACAAGTAAAAATCTATAAGCATTAGAATATCATTTTGCACACCTTGATGACACTGTTTCTGTGTGAATGGGCAAATTAAGAGCAGAAGTAACTTATGACGGAGGTAGGAAGGCATGGGACAAGGGTAGGAGAAGTGAGGCACTTGCCTAGGACATAAAATTTAAGAGGATGCCAAGAAACTCACCAACTAAGATAAATATCCTATAAAATAAAGAGGTGATATGCAAATTGACCATCACTCCAACATACAAGATGGCCGCTCCCATGTGGTCAAAGAGGCCGTCCCCATGTGGACACAAGATAGCTGCCACAAAATGGCCAGTAGGGGAGAGGAGCAGTTGTGGGCGATCAGGCCAGCAAGGGAGTGTACTTATGGGCAACCAGGCCTACAGGGGAGGACAGTTGTGGGGGAGGGGACAAAGGCCTGCAGAGGAGAGCAGTTGGGGACAACAGGTCTGCAGGGGAGTATAGTTGGGGGGAACTAGGCCCACAAGGGAGGGCAATTGGGGGGCACCAGGCCTGCAGGGGAGGGCAGAAGAGAGGGACCAGGCAGGGGAGGATAGTTGTGGGGAACCAGGCCTGCAGGGGACGGCAGTTAGGGGCCAACAGGCCAGCAGGAGTTAGGCAGAGGTGACCAGGCTGGCAGGGGAGAGCAGTTAGGGGTGACCAGGCTGGCAAGGGAGAGCAGTTAGGGGTGACTAGGCCAGCAGGGGAGGGCAGTTGGGGCAATCCAATTGGGCCGGCAGGGGAGCAGTTAGGCGTCAATCAGGCTGGCAGGGGAGTGGTTAGGGGGTGATCAGGCTGGCAGGCAGGCAGGCAGGTGAGCGGTTAGGAACCAACAGTCCTGGATTGTAAGAGGGATTCCAGATTGAAGAGGGTGCAGGCTGGGCTGAAAGACACCCCCCTCCTACCCTTATGCATGAATTTCATGCACTGGGCCTTTAGGTTTAATATAATATTTTTAAAAAGCAAAATTTAAGGCAAAAAGATCCATGAAGAACAAAATATCAAAATTTTAAATAAAAACAAGATCAATAACAGTGCCATGCCAAGCAACACTGGAGACGGATGCAAAAGGCAAACTCAGCCCTGCCAGTCCTGACCTTCTATCCCAGTGGAAAGGGAAGGCCTGAGGATGAGCTTTAGCTAGCATGTCTTAGCTCCTCAGAAAGACAACTCTGAAGAAAAGGAGTAAAAGTTTATATTTGTGTAGTATTTTCTATACTTTTGTATATTTTGTTTCCTAATTTAAAAAAATAAAAGCAATAAAAATTAGGAAGAAAATAATATAAGGAGCCGAAGACGGTTTGGCTCAGTGGAGGAGCGTCGGTCTGCGGACTGAAAGGTCCTGGGTTTGATTCTGGTCAAGGGCATGTACATTGGTTGCGGGCACATCCCCGGTAGGGGGTGTGCAAGAGGCAGCTGGTCGATGTTTCTCTCTCATCGACGTTTCTAGCTCTCTATCCTTCTCCCTTCCTCTCTGTAAAATATCAATAAAATATATTTAAAAAATAATAATAAAAAAAATAATGATACAAGGAATTCTATGGCTTGGCAAGCTATTTAAACAGCTTCATAAAACTGATTCTTACCTGAAAAGTGTGAATAGTTCTTGCCCATGCGTGTCTTATGCGACAGAATTTCATTAGTTTCTTAAAATCCACAGTTACCTCCAAACCAGCCATATTATCAATGGTCAAATATCTTCTCTTTCCACAAGTTACATCAGTTATATCCTGTCATCAAAACAAAGAACTATTTTGTATGTGTTCAAATATGCACACTGCAAAGATATTCTATAGTTGGATTGAACATCTTATGCAAACACCTTTTGAGTAAAATATCCTGTGTATTCAGTATAGAATTTAAGTTAAGAATTTCAAAAGGCTTAAAACCTACACTTGAGCAAAGATTTTAATAAACACAAATGTACATTTTTGGCCCTTGAAATTTAACTAAACTTGCCTTTCTGGAAAGTATGTGTTGTCTTTCTTATTTTGAAGTCTATACATTTTATTTATTGTACTAACTATATCAATCTGCATATACTCTTTGCAAAACTACTTTTAAAGAATAAGCTTATAAGTTTAAGAGAGGGTTTCTTCAATGAGAACAAATTCAAGGTGACTACTTTTATAATTTCTATATTTAAGCAGCAACCAAGGAAATTATGCTTTGTAAAATAGGTCATTTGTCCTTTGATTCTGTTACTCAAGCACTTCAAACTTATTAAAAATGTTTTTCACAAAGTCTTCTAGAAAATATAAGAGCCTGGCTAAGAGTGGCTCAGTTGGTTTGACATCATCCTGTACACTGAAAGTTTGCCAATTCGATTCCTGATCAAGGCACATGCCTGGCTGGTATACCTACAAGAGGCAACCCATCAAAGTTTTCCTCTCTCATCGATGTTTCTTTCTCTCTCTCTCCCTTTACCATCCTCTCTCTGAAATCAATAACATTTTTCTTTTAAAGTGGTTGCCTCACAAGGGTGGAGAAAGAAGATACATTTGTCAAAACTCATCTAACTTTATAATTACAATGTGTACGCAAATTATATCCCAATAACAGTTGATTACATAAAAATATAAGCAAGTCACAAAAATCTATAAGCATTAGAATACCATTTGCACACCTTGATGATGATGATGATATATATATATATATATATATATATATATATATATAGAGAGAGAGAGAGAGAGAGAGAGAGAGAGAGAGAGAGAGAGATACATATCTATATATATAAAAAGCCAGCAACTGGAACGCCATAATGACTGGAATGACCAATCACCTTAATGCCTACTGTGGCCAGTGAACTGGCCCAATCTGGTCCAGGGCCGGCCAGCCAACCTCCCATGCCCCATTTGGAGGTGGGGCTGGCCAGCCCAATTGCCCACGGCCCCTCCCCCAGCTGGCCTGGCCCTTTTCGGCCTCGTCTCCTCCTCCCAACAGGTCTGGTTCCAATCTACCCAGATTGAAGCTGGGCCAGCTGGACACCACCTATGCATGAATTTGTGCATTGGGCCTCTAGTATATATACATAGATACATAGATATAGATATGTAAAAGCCTTCTTTGTATAAAGCCAGCATCACTCTGACACCAAATTAGACAAGATATTAGTAGAAAACCACAAACCAATATTTTCCAAACATGGATGCAAAAATCCTTGACAAAAAATTATGGAAGAAGAATGTCAACTCTAATATGACTGGATTCTGATTCAATCATAGAGCAATAAAAAAAAAAAAATCTGCCTCTAATAGGTTAAAAGGTACTATTTTCCTATTATGACTTACCTGTTTTATGAAAAATATTTCTCCATTGCAGAGTCGAATACCACTTTCAAAGTCATGCTTATTTTTAGCAGCACCAGAAGGCATACCATCCTCTAGTTCATTACTTTTCTGACTGTAGAAGTCATTTTCAGGCAGTACATCCGTGAGATATGCATTCCTGGTACAACAAATTTTATGGCCAACTCCAAATATAAGTTTTTTCTTATGGTCTCTGGGTTAGAAAATGACAATATTAAGTTTGAGAGACCTTAATTTCATTTTGTTTAAGCATTAACACCTACTCATATCCAATCTGATGCGCAAAATAATCTCCATACTTTCTTTATTCCACTTTTACTCTCCAAAGTTCAACAAGAAACCAGACCCCCACAAGTGTGGTCTGATTACCTACACTTTCTGCACCACCTCAAACTCAAGACCACTGCCCAGCCAAATTTTTGTTTGAAATCTTGGCATAAATGCTGATGTCTCCTTTTCCCTGTATTCAAAAAGTTATCAAATATCTTACTGATTCTACCTTTTAAGTTCATCCTGTCCTCTGCAGTTACTCCTATCAGTACCCTATTTCAGGCCTTACAGCACTTATACATAGTTCTATGATAATAATTATAACATAACATATTAAAATAATGGCAGCAAATTGAATAAATGCTGGCAATATACGAGTTACTGCAATAAGTGCTTTAGGCATATTATTTCACTTATCCTTACTACAACTCTATGAGGAAATTCTGTGTATCCTCTTTCACATAGCTGGAAAGCGGAAATCACCTGCCCAAAATCATAATCACTGGGACTCAGAGTACATGACCCCAATCTCATGCTTGTTAACCCTTTTGAAGGTTACCTAACGTGCTTTTTGTGTGTGTGTGTATTCCCTCAACTAGCACATCCATGGGTTTTCTGCACTTTAATAGATGGAAGGTGTTGATTAAGGCTCAGATACGAGTTAATTTTTCCTGTGTTAATAGCATGGCTTTTCTCCACTCATATTTCTCTGATTCATGTTCACTAAGGTGCTCTCTGCATGCAGCCTGTTGCTACAGTTCTTGGGACACACTATGCACATATTAGAATTTGAAAAATTCTTCTGAATTCTCAATGCTCCTCTTGGAGAAGATGGAGTTTGCCAACCTAGAAACCACAAGGAAAATTTGACTCATTTTTTTTTTTTTTTTTTTTTTTTACTACATTGGTTACCAAAAAGTCAATCCCTAAGAGTATATATGATATTTAATTGAAGAGACCACCTTACTTCACAAATGAAAAAACAAAACAAAATTTTAAAAAATGTTTAAACATGTGGCTACAGTGATCAATGTCAAAACAAACAAAAGAACAGAGAATCAAGGAAGGACCACCCCCAAAGTTCCCGCTCTTGGTGCTCACTTGTATAGGTGGCCTGTGTAGTGCTTGCAACAGCAGTCGTTGATGACATCACAGTCTTGCCTGAAACACATGAAAATGCAAGGGGCACCTGAACGGTAACTGTTTTATGCTTGTTTCTATTACCAACAATATGACATACTGGATTCTGATAAAAGTCGCCATGATTTTCTCCAGGAAAAAGTATTTTGTAAATTTGATCTTAACATAATAAACTTTTGCCCCAGTCAGAGATCCTGTGAATTTCCAAACATAATATATGGCAGAAAGCGCCCTGATTAGAAAATGCCCCTCTACATGTCTAACAAAGAAATACCTCAAAATAAGACAGAGACTTAACAGTGATGAACTAGAAGGAACTCTTATTCTGTACTAGCTGGTATGGCTCAGCTGGGTGGAGCATTCATCCCATACACAAAAAGGTTAAGGGTTTGATTCCTGGTCAGGGCACATACCTAGGTTGCCAGTTCGATCCCCAGTCAGGGTGCAGGTATGGGAAGCAACACATCAGTTTCTCTCTCACGTCTTTCTCCCTCTCTCTTCCTCTCTCTCTAAAGTCAATAAAAACATATCTTCAGAGATGATTAAAAAAAAGAGAGACTCTCATTCACACAGTATCTATATTAATAAGATGTAAAAGCTAAAGACATTAAAATATTGCAAATGTTTTACCTTCTAAATGCAATAAATTGTGATGTTTTTGCACACTTCAGGTCTTTTTCTTCGAGTAAAGTTTTAACAGCATTATATAAATCTGACAATTCAAGAGAAAACAGTTAACATGGAAAAGCACCAAATTACAACACTGAAGAAATGAATTCAGAACTGCTGCTAAGGGTGCAGGAAAACATCTCACCAAACAGAATACAAGTTCACCACACGAACATCAACCTCATACCCTGCATCTGCAGAGCAATAGAAGAGTGTGGAGACAGACACCCTGTCCTCAACAGAGAGGTCAGCCACAAGCTGGCTCCTAGTTTGTAATAAAATAACTGTATTCATTGATGACTTGTGAATGCTGAATTTAAAATGTGAACAAGAGGTCCAGCTGGTGTGGCTCATGGTTGAGCATCAACCCATGAACCAGGAGGTCATGGTTTGATTCTCAGTCACAGCATATGCCAACATTGTGGGCTCGATCCCAAGTAGGAGGCTTATAGAGAGCAGCCATGTGATGATTCTCTCTCATCACTGATGTTTCTGTCTCTCCCTCTCCCCTCCTCTCAAATTAATAAAAGATATTTTAAATAAATAAATAAAATATGAACAAGAGAGCAAAATATGGAACAGAATTACTAAGGCAAGACTTCTTTCTGTTTTAAGCTCTGGTAGTACTAGTGGTAGTGAGTTAAAATTTGAGAACAGCTCTGCATATTACACTTAAATTTCATCTTCATAACACTCATATGAGGCATATATTATGTCCAAGGCTGATATTTAGTGAATACATACCAGCATAAAATCTATATGTATAGAAGGCTAAGTGTCCGACTGTCTTACTGGTAGCTATGATGTGCACTGACCACCAGCTCCAATGCAGGAGCTGCCATGATGTGCACTAGCCATTTAAAAATAAATGCACCACAGACCTGGCGCCAACAAACCAACACTCGGCTTCCCCCAAGTGAGACACATGCCCTGCCCGCCACCACCCCGGAACAATACCTCACTAAATTGCAGCCAATGCTGCCAAAACCTCATGGTGCAAAATGCAGCCCACAGCCCAGTGCAGCCCAGAAACAGTGGTTGTGGGTGCTGGTAATGACGTCACATAGCAATGTCCAGTTTCCTCTCCCAAGCTCCTAGCCTCCTTAGAGTTTCTTCACCCCAGGAAACAGACTTGCTTTATTGCCAGGTGCAAACATTTTACAGTTTAACCAAATGTTTGTGAAGTGTTTTTCCGTGCCTCATCTCATTTGATCCTCCCAGAAGTCCTGAAGTAGATAGATAGGAGACTCAGTAGAATACTATTTTCTTTTCATCAGCAAGATATGAATAGCAATATTAAAATACCAGAGGCCCGGGGCATAAAATTCATGCATGGACAGGGTGTCCCTCAGCCCGGCATGCACCCTCTCCAATTCGGGACCCCTTGGGGGATGTCCGATTGCCCTCTTACAATCCAGGACCACTGGTTCCTAACCACTCACCTGCCTGCCTGCCTAGTGCCTTCAACTGCCCTCCCCTGCCATCCTGGTTACCCCCAATGGCCCTCCCCTGCTGACCTGATCTTGCCCCCAACTGCCATCCCCTGCCAACCTGATCTCACCCCTAATTGCTCTTTCCTGCTGGCCTGATTGCTCCTAACTGCCTCTGTCTCGGGCCCCACCACCATGGCTTTGTCAGGAAGGAAGTCGGATGTCTGCAAGATAGCTGGTGAACCCGGTCTAATTAGCATATTATTCTTTTAGTAGTATAGATAGATTATAAAGGATAGGATTGCTTAAATGGGAGGGAAAAGCCTTTTTCAGCAGGAGGAGATACTCTTGGCAGACAAAAATACATAACCCCTATATCTGAACTGATAGCCAGGCATATGTACTACAGTACCAAATCAGTTATTAAAAAATTGAACCATTTTCTTACACCTTATACCAAATAGCTGTTGCCCTTAGAACCCCTCCTCAGCCCCCACCTTAGGTTCTGCCTTTGCAGTTCACCCAGATTAGGTTCGGATTGGTCGGTTTCTATGCCAGTCAGCATCAAAAGCTCTGCCTCCTAGGCAGCCATTGGCTCCTCACAGTTCACCTAGATTAGGTTCTGATTGGTCAGTTTCCATGCCAGTCAGCGTAAAAAGCTCTCCTCCTAGATAGCCACTGGCTGCACTGGGAAATCCAGAACGGCCTGCCTTCATGTTGGTGCCAATCCTTCAGTCATGCTCCCAGTCCCCTACCAGGTGTATCTCTGGCCACTCTGAGAAGCAATACCTCAGATTTGTGCTGATGGCAATTTTAAATTCTCATCCCTGACCTAATCTTCTTACAGTGCGAGGTCTGTGAAGGTAAGTATTTGTCTTGTTCATTCTTAGTTCACTCAGAGGCTTTATCTGTGTCTATGCATGGTGACCAATCAAATGGTTGTTTCAGTCATTGCCTTTTTATATATAGAAATTTCTTCTAATTCATTTCCTTTCAATGTGTGCATGGATCCATGCACCAGGACACTAGTATGAGATAAAATGGCTGGAAGACGAAACTCCGTAATGCCCCATCCCCGCTCCAATCAGGTCTTTCCTCCCCCAGCACTGCCACGCCTCCCCATGATTCAGCAACTAAAAGTTTAACCCTAGCACAGCAGGGGCACCCATTCCCAGAGAGACTATAACCTACCAGCTAGTAAACAGTTCGACTATCACCACCACTGCTAGCATCCTTGTTATGAATGTGAAACTGAGGCTTTTGGAAGCAAAGGTACTTTTCCCAATGGAAATTGGAGTAGGATCACTGACAGTGACAGCATCCACTTACAACTTGTCCTTCCTCAGAGCACTGAGAAGCAGGCTTCCTCTAAGCTCTTTTAGCAATATTACAAAACACAAACATTTCTCGTGAGAGAGAAGACATAACTTGAGTAAGAATGCTCCAGCTTGTGTGCCTTTCCCTCAGCAGGTGAACCACAGGAGAATGAAGAAATCAGGCCTTGGGAGGCCTGGCTTCAAGCTGACACTTCATTTTCCAGATGGAGGGAGGATGTTCACTAAAAACTAGCCAATACTCAGCTCACCCCGGCCAACACTGCTTCCAGAACAGGAATTCCCAAGGACTCACAGAGTCCAGTTCTCTTCTACACATACAGGGTCATGCTGCTTTGCTCCTCACTTACTCCACTCTCTCTACATCTCACCGATCAATATGCACACTGTATTTCACTGGTTCTAAGATGTGTTTGCCTCACGTTTTAGCACCTGTAAAATTCTAACCCAGCTATAAAGTCTGTCTTAGGTCTTTGTACTCTGCAATGATGGGAATAATTTACTCAACAACCTAATTAATTATTAATGAAAAAGCTCTGTTTGCCTCTCTAAGGAGTACTTATTCAATTCTCTTAAAGAGAAGACTAATTTTCCAGCTGAAGTTTGTAATAAAGATAGAAAAACAATATCAGTTAAGTTTTGCTACCATTTTGAAACAGACAATTTTTTAAAGTACATTTTCATTAATATAAAGAACGGGTGCCAAAAATAAACTAACCATATTTTAGGTAGATCTAAATGGAGTGGCAAAGAGGCCAAGTCACTTAACTGTCTATGTCACGTTTTCTTCATCTGAACTAGTACCTATATTATCTAAGCTGTTATGACATTAAATACTATCTATTCATTACTCATAATATATTTAATTTTTTAAAAAATCACAAAATAGTGTGCAACTTATAATCCAATTTATGTAAAACTAAAATAAGTAATATACCTTGTTTTTGGATATGATGTTTAAAAAGATAAACACTAAGCCCTTACCTTATATGTGACCTTTATGGGGTTGTCTTGAGGGAAGAGGCAAAGGAAGATTACTGAGAAATATTAATTTTTACTTCAAATACTTTGGTATCACTTGACTTTTTAAGTTTTAAATTATTTCTATAGCAAAAAAAAAAAAATCCAAAAGGCATGTATTAAAAAGAAAACAGGGTGTTGTAACACATGGAGACACACACAAAGGAAGAAAGTGTTGAATGGAGACGAGACCACCCAAGAGGCAGAGACCCCCACCCGGGAAATGACTCCAACTAGCCAATTGCGGAGTCAGATGACAAACTTTATTGCAGATTCGAATCTGGGCTGCCGCGCGCCAGGAGCAGCAATGGCGCGGGCCAGGAGCAGCAACCAGCAGCCGTTACAAAGCAATCTCCTTTTAAGCACTCTTCAAACAAGCACATTCCAAACAAGGGGGGTGGTGGTCCACGGGGCTGAAGCTGATTAACCTTGTGGTTGCATGCATCAGCCAGATGACCTAATCTCCCTTCTTGGCTTACTCTGCTATCTTAGCCTTGACTAACCCAGACTGTTGATTTGGCCTTCAGCCTTGACTAACCCAGACTATCGATTTGGCCTTCAGGTCCAGGAGGGGAAAGGAGTAGCAACTTTCTACCCTCCAGACAAGGTCAGTTATTTTCCACTCCTCAGAAAGCCTTAAAGCTAAAGTTCTATGTCACTTAATGTTGCACACAGAGTGGAAGGAGCTAAGTAGGAAGGATATCCTTCAAAAATTGTGCCAACTAAAATAAATCTTCAATAACAATCATTTAAGTCTTCACTAATTCAATTTTGAATAAGCCATTATACTACTACAAAAAGTTTTCTAAGTAAGTTTATAATATAAATAAAGATCAAAAGGTTTAATCTATTTAAATGGTTCATTTGGAATAAGTTATTATCTATTGTTCACAAAAAAATAAATAAAATGTATGTAGTGCCTCAAAGCTGATGAATGCCTCAACCCTCACAACAGCTCCACAGGCCCTGTCTCCCTGACTCCCATTTTACAAAACAGTAAGTGATGTGACATGGACCATATACATAAATAAGGGTGAAGATTTCCCATCCTATGCTCTTCCTTGACGCTGTCATAATGTCTTCCCAATGCCCGTAATTAGAAGTGATGCTTGTCCATTTAGTAAGAAATAGGACAGAAACATTAGGACTCAACTTGGCAAAAGCCAACAGCCATTACTTTTGTTTCACAAATATATGAAAATAATAAATGCATTTACTTTTCCAATTGCTATGAAAGAAAAACTTCATTAAGACAGGTATTTCTTGAGGGCCTGGGGTGAGACGGAGGGGGAAAGGAGAGTGGAGGCCGGAGGTGGGATGGAGGGGGTCAATGGGGCAATACTTTTAATAATAAAGATTTTTTTTAAAAGACATGCCTTCTCCTGAATAAACTTGGATTACTGGAGCTTTGTTTTGTTTTATTTTATTTTAAACTAATCATCTACATCCATTTATCCTCTCATCAAATATTTATTGAGCTCTTAGTATGTATGTGACAACTTCTTTACAAAATTCTAGGGTAATCTGCTTTTGATGATAAATTCCTTTCTTTTCAGTGCCTGATTTTTTTTCGCCAGCAATACTTACTTTACCATCAAATAACATTCTAACTAGCCCTTTAATATCTATATTACAATACTGAAACATGTAACCCTACATACCCAGCTCATACTTACGAGAGTGGTGATCACTTTTCGATGACTGAGAACTGGCATTCTCTTCTGGGAGTCTCACAAAAATAAACGTTTTATCTTGTACTGAGGCAGGGATTGTTGGATCACCTGAGATACTCAGCTCTGCATCAAATTTTGGAAATTGGCGTTTTGCGATTCTAAAAACAGGTAAAAATAGTACACCAAGAACTTTAATATCCAAAAATGTACCTTTATATATAAAACCAGAGATAATGTCATTACAATAATTAATATTTGTTAACAGGCTACTCATTTACCCGTTATAAATAAGTAAATGAATTTTTAAAATAGAACTGGCCAGACCATAATGTTACACTCAGCAATCCGTACCCACCCCTAGCAAATTAAAAACATTAGAAAAAATCGTCAGGGAGTTCACTAAGTGCCATTCTGAGAACTTGATCTACGTTTCTCCAAAAGAACCACCCAAGGTAGGTACAGCCTCATTTCGCACGTGAGCAGCATGAGACTTAGTCCGCTGCAGTGAGCTGCCCAGGGCCACAGAGCTAGTTCGCAAGGGAGCTGGGCAGCCTACTTGGGCCTTTTTGGCCCCATATCCTTGTCTATTTGAATTAGCTTGGACTCTCTGGAGTCTTATCCTTACATTTACTCTTTCTTTTCCCCTTTCTTCTGTGTACATCATATATGAGTGGCCTCATATTTTCCCAGTTGAACCAAGTATCCACTACTTCTCTTTACTTCTAGTCTACCCCTATCTCTTTTTAGTTCTTATATTTCCCAAGACTTGCAAATTATATCAGAAAATAAGAGAAAAGGAAAGGTGCCTTGACATCATAGAGCCTTCCCTGAGTTATTTGGAAGATGACTGACTCCCTGTGACCTAACGCCAGCCTAGCTATCAAAGGCAATGGTACCCTACTGCTGCGTCATCTTCCACCTGCCCAACAGAGTTGGGAGGAAGAAAGCAGAGGGAAGAAGGCTGGCCCTGCTGGATATATCCCAGATTTAATTTCTGGGGGATTGAAAATCACCACAAATTTCCTATTTTGCTTCTGACCCGGGACATGTAATATATTTCTAGCTCAATATATTTCTATCTGGTATCACTGGGATTATAAATATTTGATGATGATTACAAAGAAATGATGAAAGGCGCACAGCTCAGCCCAAATGGTATTAAAGAGGTTAATATTGCCGAAACCGGTTTGGCTCAGTGAATACAGCGTCAGCCTGCAGACTAAAGGGTCCCAGGTTTGATTCCAGTCAGGAGCATGTATCTTGGTTGCGGGCACATCCCCGGTAGGGGGTGTGCAGGAGGCAACTGGTCAATGTTTCTATTTCATTGATGTTTCTAGCTCTCTATCTCTCTCCTTTCCTCTCTGTGAAAAATCAATAAAATATATTTTTTTTAAAGAAAGAGGTTAATAAATGGCATTCCTAAATTTCAGATAAAACTGAGTTGAAATCTAATGTGCTTTAGATTCTCCTAAGATTTTTAGACTTAAAAATGACCAATCATGGACCAACATCCCCAAAATGAGCAGAAATGTTATAAGTAAATACTACACATCCTCCCTAACTGGTTTGGCTCAGTGGATATGGCATCGGCCTGCAGACTAACGGGTCCCAGGTTCAATCTGGTTAACGTGCCCAGGTTGAGGGCTCGATCCCCAGTAGGGGGCATGCAGGAGATAGCTGGTCAATGATTCTCTCTCATCACTTATGTTTCTCTCTCTCTATCCCTCTCCCTTCCTCTCTGAAATAAAAATATATTTAAAAAAAGAATATAACACATCCAATTGCATATTTTTCATAATTCCATATAATAAAAGGCTAATATGCAAACTGACCGAATGGCAGAATGACTGGTCGCTATTACACACACTGACCACCGCACCAGGGGAAAGACGTTCAACACAGGAGCTGTCCCCTGGTGATCAGTGCACTCCCATGCTCAGCGAGAAGCCAGGTTCATGGCTGACAAGTGTAGCAGTGGTGGCGGGAGCCTCTCCCATCTCCACAGCAGTGCTAAGGGTGTCCGACTGACAGCTTAGGCCCATGCTCTGCTCCCCAGAGGTGCGGACCTAAGCCATCAGTTGGACATCCCCCAAAGGCACAGGCTGGGCTGAGAGACCCCACCAAATTTTGTGCACTGGGCCTCCAGTGTTTTAACATAAACCTACATCATCTACCCTTTTCCTATCAATTCTTCCTCTACTCACACTATTCAACCCAGGGTAGACAGGGGTATGGAGAAAGTAGGTTTTAATATTCTAGTTTTTGCTGATCCCCAACCAAGGAAATGTTCAAGCAATAAAAAAAAAATAAATAAATAAAAATAAAAACACCTTATAAAAGAACATCAAAACAAAGATAAATCTTGGCCCATGAATAAACCCATCTCTCAATGATTTGAGTTCCCATATCATCTACTACAGAAGATCACTCTAAACACTTGTGCAAAGACTATGAGAAAATAAGGGTTCTTTTCTATTTTAAGGAGAAGAATATGCCATGGATGCCACCAAAATTCAAGGAGGAGTAAAATGCCATATTCATTTATTTTGCTTTGACCTGAGGTCTCTTGCAAAAACTATGGGAAATCTTTTCCCAAATTCTCCCTTGAACTCTAATAAACTCGTTTCTAAGTCTCTGTTCCCCTTGGGCACATTCTAGTCACTAAGACTGATGTAACTTTTTGTTTTTAATCCTCACATGAGGAATGAAGATATTTTTTTCCATTAATTATTAGAGAGTGGAAAGGACAGAAGTGGGGAGAGGGAGAGGAGAGAGAGAAACATTGACATACTTGAGACACATTATTTGGTTGTCTCCCACTAGCCCCCTTACTGGGCCTAGGGATTGAATCTGCAACTGAGGTATATGCCCTTAACCAGCATTGAACCCGAGACCCTATAGTCCACAGGTCAATGCTCTAACCACTGAGCGAGATTGTCCAGGGCAAGATTGATGTAACTTTAATCCACATGTACTCTCTGAAATCACATTCACTCTTAAATTTTATTACTGGGCCAGTAATGAAAAACTACTGCCTTTGTTTTTCTAATTATGGGGGAAAGGTATATGTATATATCTGAAGGATAGGATAGGTTTGCTAAAAGGGCATAATAAATGTACTATCATTAATTCAAAAGCTAATATGGCCCTAACTTGTTTGGCTCAATGCATAGAGCATCGGCCCACAGACTGAAGGGTCCTGGGTTTGATTCCAGTCAAGGGCAGGTACCTCAGTTGCAGACTTGATCCCTGTGTGGGAAGCAACCAACCAATTAATGTGTCTCTCTCACATTGATGTTTCTCTCTCTCTCACCCCCTCTCTTCCACTCTCTCTAAAAATACATTAAAAAAAATATCCTTGGGTGAGAATCAACAAAAAAAAGCTAACATGTAATTTTTTTTAATTAAATATATTTTATTGACTTTTTACAGAGAGGAAGAGAGGGGGATAGAGAGTTAGAAACATCGATGAGAGAGAATCATCGATCAGCTGCCTCTTGCACACCCCCCACTGGGGATGTGCCCGCAACCAAGGTACATGCCCTTGACCGGAATCGAACCTGGGACCTTTCAGTCTGCAGACTGACCCTCTATCCACTGAGCCAAACCTGTTTCGGCTAATATGTATTTTTTAACCTTTTATTTCTAACATAAGAAAGAAAAAAAGGAAAATGTTAGTTATATTATACCTTGTAGCATTGTCCACAATTAGCTCAGATTCTGTTCTATGGTTTGTCTTTAGTTCGATAGCACAATTCCTTGGCTTAAGAGTATCAAAAAGATCTTGCAGTAAGTTGCCAGGCTCAATGCTGGGTAACTGTCTAATATCACCTAAAGAGGGGCGGGGGGGAGGGGGGGAGGGCGGAGAATAGATATAGTTTTTAGGTAACCGTGATCCTGAAATGTAGGAATTATTTTTATTTCGCCCTACTGATATATGCCATATTTACAAAGACTTACTCTAACTGAAAAAATAAATAAATAAAGCCCTTCCCCAAAAATATTTGTTTAAAGTGACTTGAGAACATTAAATCTTTAAAAATATTCCACATACAAAAATACCATTCAGATTAAACAATATAAGATAAAAATAGCAATAACTCATCAAGGTAAAATCTGTGTCAAACTTCTTTCCTACCTATAACCACAGGCCAACTGTGTAAAGACATATATTTTGGCCACCATGTGAAGAAAAAAAACAGGCCTGATTTAGCTGTTATTTATTCAATCTTGCTCAATGTCTTACTAAACATGAAAGAATCTATGGTCTCAAACAAATAAAATAAACAGATAAAATACAAAATAAACAAACCAAATGCATTTGCTAACAGATAAATTCTAGTAATGTAATGATGATATTTTTCTCTATTAAATATCTTTTTACTTTAAACAAACCAATCAACCATAGAGATAAGAAAAACTACTTTCTAGGGGAAAGATGGGAGAATGCTCAAACCTTTAATAGAATCAACTGTTTATAAAATATCCTCAAATATATAAAAATATTACTTATACAGAATTTGACTCTCACACAGCAATTCTATTTCTTTTTCCATTAAATCTTACAATCTATAGGACAGTACACCCAATAGAACCTAACTGAATCTCACCAGAAATGGAAAGGACTTAAGAGGCTGGTGAGGTCTAATTTGCGCTATTAGCTTAAAAATAATAAAATTACTTTTAAGAGGTCTATACTTCAGACATTTTATTACTTCCAAATAAATGGACATCCTTATTTTCTTTGGATCTGTGACATTTTTACCATTTTTATAGTCATCGTTTAGGTGATGAGCAGTGACCCTTCACATCTCTATTTCATTCATATCCCAGCATGCTAATTCCCTGGCTAACATGAAGAACCTCCCACACTGCTGGAGAGAGTGGGCAAACTGAACTCAGTGCAGCTTCAGTATGGGCTCTGACCAAAGACTTCCCACCTGTAGGATACGATATTAGAGCAGTGAACTGAATAACCGCCACTTATCCACAATCTGTGTACTAAGCAATTAGAATTCCAGCAATATTTTAACTTACCAAGGATAATAAGCTTAGAAAGTTTGGAGTGCTCAAGCAATAAATTTAAGACAGATTTGAAGATTCCTACAGATACCAAACTCCCTTCATCCACAACCAGAACTCTCACTGAAGAAAATCTCCATGGATTATTCTCGCAGTTGTCCTCGTTTGTTGTTTTCTTCCAAAAATAGAAGCTGTAACTGACCTATAAGTAAAGTATTGCATTTCTTAAGTTCAGGCTATAAAATTTACCCCCCCCCCAAAAAAAAATAATAATTTTTTTAAACATGTTACTTGAAAACAAAACTCTTAAATTGGAGGGGTTGGGTAAAGCATGTAGGTAGAGTAACATAGGAAAAAGACTAAAGAAATAGAGAACACAAAAGGTATAGAGGTGAATAGAGAGATCAAATAAATCTAAAAACAAAAAAAATGATCAAATAATTTTTAAAAGTGCTTGCTAACAACTACTTGGTGGGTGTAACAGGCTTTGTATATGTCACTATCCCACTGCAAAAATTTCAACCCTCCCCTTACTACTTTTGGCCAGGGAGTGCTCTCCATTCCCAAATACAAGCCTTCTCCTGGCCTGAGCTACCCAGTCACTTAGGTCCGCCTCTTCCCCCAATGATAACCCTCCATCCTGGAAACAAAGTGCTGTCTTCCCAGCCTACCACTTTTTCTTCACATTTTAAAAAAACCACCACTGCCCTAACTGGTTTGGCCCAGTGGATAGAGCTTTGGCCTTCGGACTGAAGGGTCCCAGGTTCGATTCCAGTCAAGGGCATGTACCTCGGTTGCAGGCACATCCCCAGTAAGGAGTGTGCAGTTGATAGATGTTTCTCTTACATTGATGTTTCTCTTTCATCAATGTTTCTAACTCTCTATCCCTTTCCCTTCCTCTCTGTAAAAATTCAATAAAAAATATTTTTTTAAATAAAAAATAAAAATTAAAAAAACCACCACCAACAACTAAAAGCGACTTATTACAGAGGTAATAATATTCACCATTTTAAAAATATAGGTAAGTAAAAATTTGTGACATTGCAGCCAGATAATCTTAAATAGGTTGGTCTCTATCATTCCAGAAACATTTCTATATTGTATATAAAGGTTTTTAAAATTGTAACATAATTTTAAAATTTTATTTACAACTATAGTTTACATTCAATATTATTCTGTATTAGTTTCAGCTGTATGCATAGTGGTTAATCATGTACTTTACAAAGTGTTGGCCCAATATTTCAAGTACCTACCTGACACCATAATATTATAATATAACAATGTTCCCTATGCTGTACTTTACATCCTTGTAATTATTTTATAACTACTACTTTATTTAAGTTTTCTACTGCAACTATATTCAACATGTCTATTAAGCAAAAGCATTCATATTTCCCACACATCATCATGAAGAAATGAAAACTAAATTAATTAAACAAAGTCTGTCTTTAAGGCAAATGTTTCCTCTCGAGAAGAAACGTAAAAGGTTTTACCTGACATAGTGTGTAAGCGTGAAAACCAGTCTTCTGTCTCAGCAAGCCAGCGGCTTTCCCTGTAGGTGCCGTAAGTAACACTTCTATAGCCTTGTCCGCCTTTGGCGGCCTTTGCTGGGTAAAGGTAACCCACTCTTCTGGTACATCCTGGTCTTGTTCAAAGTCTTCACAAGCTTTCTTGACTTCTCTTTTTTCCAACAGCTCCCTCTGCCTAAAAAGATGGCTCACAATTGTGGTCTTCCCACAACCGCCTTTCCCGCTGATGACGGTCACGGCGTTGGAGCAGACCATCTCCAAAGCAGCCACCTGGTCCTGGTCCAGCTGATCGTCGGGTATTTCGGCATTACCTTCATCTTCACCATCATCCCAGATATGGTCACCACTGTCCTGGGTGCTGGCCTCAGAAGTTTCTAAGGTTTCATCCGGCTTACTTTCGTTTAATGGATCGCCCCTTCTTGAATCCTCAGGTTTTTGGGTACGAAGAGACGCAAGCACCTTTTTGACATCGACATGCAAACACCACGGAGGCCTCTGCATCAGATCGCCTATGGAAGAGGCAATGTTTTTCTCAGCCTGGTAAAGGTCATAAAGGAAGACACGGCCCTTCTCGTAGGTCACCACGTTGATATCCTTCAAAAAGTCCAGACACTCCCAAACATCATAAAGAGACATCTGGTTTGACACCTGAGAAGCTAAGTCAGGTCCTTCCACATACGTGTGCCCATGCTCTCTACACAGCTGCTTCAGCTTAGAATATAGTTTCAACCCATTCTTCTGCACATCAGTCATCAGCAGGAGGAGAGACGGGCACTGACAAAATGCTGTCCAACTTGCCTCACACTGCAAAAGCTTCAGCTCCCTGTAGGTGATCTTTAAGAAAATAAAGTTCAAGCTGCTTTAAAAAATGGTACATGTTCATGAGTAGTATTAAAATTACAGTAAAAACAATGTTATTTGTTAATAAGTTTTTAAGTCCCAGAAGACATGTATTTCAACTAAGTTTGGAGGGAAAAAAATCTCTGTACCTAATATATCACTAATTTTTTGTTGACTGTCCTGTGATTGGAGCTCTATATAATTTTTAAATTAAAAATATTTTCTCAAAGCAATACACATAATTTTAATAGTCAAATAACACCATGAGATTTATCACTAAAAAGAGGAATCCCCTGCCTTACCCTTCCCATGCCTTCTAACAACACCACCTTCAACACTTTCAGTTTTTTTCTCCTGGAATTTATCTCCACATTTCTAAGTAGTGTTTATACTGTTCCTTAATTTTATTTTAAATTTATTGAATGGTATTGGTTAATTATATAGGTTTCAGGTCTATAATTCTATAAACATCGTGTACACATTGTGCAGTGTGTCTATCACTTAAAGTCAGATCTTCCATCATCATATATTTGACCCTCTTTATCCTCTCCTACTTCCCTCTCCCCCATATTAATTCCCTATTATACAAAGTCTTTCTCTACAGAAGATCTCTCTCTCTCTCTCTCTCTCTCTCTCTCTCTCTCTCTCTCTCTCATGTGCTTCTCCCCTTCTCATTTTTGAAAAAAGTTACAGTATACATTTTGTTAATCAATTTGGGTTAAATCAGTGTAAACAGGATTCAAATAAGTAACTTGATGTCCCATGATTACATTCCTTCCTAGATTATGTTATGTGAAGTTAATGATTACCTCATTTCCTTGGTTTCATATATATATATATTTTTTTTTAATTTATTTATTTATTTATTTTTTATTTCAGAGAGGAAGGGAAAGGGAGAGAAAGATAGAAACATTAATCATGAGAGAATCACTGATGGGCTGCTTCCTGCATGCCCTACATTGGGGATTGAGCCTGCATCCTGGGCATGCGCCTGACTGGGAATCAAACTGGTTCCTAGGTCAACACTCAACCACTGAGCCATGCCAGCTGGGTTACTTGGTTTCTTTAGTTTCCTTTGTGCTTATTAGCAACTAGAGGCCTGGTATATGAAATTCGTGCATGCGGGAGGGGGGAGGGGTCCCCTCAGCTCAGCCTGTACCCTCTCCAATCTGGGACCCATTGAAGGATGTCCAACTCACAATCTGGGACCACTGCCTCCTAACTGCTCACCTGCCTGTCTGCCTGACTGCCCCTAACTACTCCCCTGCCAGTCTGATCACCCTTAACCACCTGTGCCTGCCAGCCCCAACTGCCCACCCACCCCCCAACCAGCCTGGTGACCCCCAACTGCCTCCCCTGCTGGCCTGGTTGCCCCAATGCAACCTGCTCTTCAGTCCCTCACTAACCCCCCTGCTGACCTGGTCACCCCACACAGCCAGCTGTTCAGTCATTTGTTGGTCCCTCATTAACCCCCTGCCAGCCTTGTCACCCCATGCAGCCTACTGTTTGGTCCTTATTGTGATGGAGTCCTAGACAATTTGCATATTCCTCTATTATTAGTATAGATTCTGCCCAAAGGCTACAAAAGAGGCAAGGAACTTCCTTCATCAGAATACACTTAGCAGGTCTTCCACCAGCTCCATCTTTTTTCTTTTCTTTTCATGGAGCCTCTATAAACATATTTATGCGCTGAACTGTACCCCCTGACCCCACCCCCAATTCATATGTTGAAATCCTAATGACTAGTACCTCAGAATGTGACCATATTTGGAGATAGGGTCTTTAAAAAGGTAATTAAGTTAAAATGAGGTCTCTGGAGAGGGCCTAATCCAATGTGATTTGTGAAATTAGGACACAGATAACTCTACAGAGAGAAAGATGACCGTGTGAAAACATAGCAAGAAGACTATAAGTCAAGGAGAGACACCTCTGAAGAAATCAACCTTGTTGACACCTTGATTTTGAACTTGAAGCCTCCAGAACTGTGAGAAAATAAATTTCTGTTGTATAAGAAGCCACCTAGTCTATGGTGTTTGTTAGAGCAGTCCTAGCAAATTAATACAACACCTCAGTACAAGTCTTTATTCTGGATGGTCAACAGTGAAACTTCAAGCTTCCTTTTCCTACTTGAGTCCCAGAATGTTCACTGCTCTGATTGCTTCTCTACTGAATAAATATATATAATAATCTAACATTCTGGGATCTTATTTTCCAGAGCATATAGAAACCAGTCATTTTACATAAGAAACAAATTCATTATTCTTATATTTCTCAAACAGGGTGGGGAGGGTGTCTGTACACATTCGTGGGGATCCAAAAATTACATCAGAATTTTTAAATTGTACTTCCATTTGGAAAGTCACCTTTAACCAAACCAATGCCATGTTTGCTTTCCAATGCCACTGGAGCCTCTTGGTGTCTATAAGCACAAAAACTTTCTATTTAGTCCCTGACCTTGGTTGGTGTCTCATACACCAAAAAGTTGTGGGTTCAATTCCCAGTCAGGACACATACGTAGGTTGTAAATTTGATTTTCAGTCGTGGAAGGTATGGGACACCACCAATATTCCCCTCTCTCTCTCTCTCTCTCGCTCTCTCTCTCTCATCAATTTAAAACACACACACCCCCACATATTTTCAGTTGAAGATTTTTTTTAAAAAGTTTGTATTTAATTTGTAATAATCAAAGAAACATGCATTAGCCTGGCTGGTGTGCCTCAATGGTTGAGCATTGATCTATGAACCAGGTCATGGTTCGATTCCCTGTCAGGGCATATGCCTGGGTTGCAGCTCGATCCCCAGTAGGGGGTGGGGAGTGTATGTGCAAGAGGTAGCTGATCAATCAATGCTTCTTTCTCATCATTGATGTTTCTATCTCTCTCTCCCTCTTCCTTCCACTCTCTGAAATCAATAAAAACATTTTTTACCAAAGAAAGAAAAACACATCAACACTGAGGTCTATACAACTTTTTTTTTCCTTTAAAAGAGATTCAAAAATTGTCAAGTTTGAGAAATCTTGCCTTATATAAGATTGCTAAATTTTAAACAAATGTTTTACTTACTTTACTAAATCCAAGCTTCCATGGCTGTGTACCTAAAAACTTTTCTATCTTTCCCAACACCTCTTCAGAACTTGAGCTTATGAGCTGCTTAAAGTGTCGAGGCAGAAGAACTGGAAGGAATTCCATTATTTTTGGAAACTTCAATGCTGTCATTACATTTATAAATGGAACTGCAGTATATAAGAAAAGAACACATCAAAACATACAAATGAGCTCACAGAACAACTGATCTGATAGATTTTCTTATTTAGTACCCCTCCCTCAAGAAATCCCAAATCAAAGAGAGATTAATAAATTTATTTTAACCAGCAAGAAAATTCATATTATAACAATTTATTTGTACTGGGATGGTTTTCACTGTATCTTACACCAAAAATTATGTTCTTTAAATGCTTAGGTAACTTCCTAGTCTTCTGTTTCATTTTATGTGCAAATAATTAGAATAAAATTCTTGACTCAATGACATAAAGATAAAATCAAAGCTAAATATAAAAATAATACAAATATTAACCTTTATAATCAATTTTATTGTAACCATTATCCATTTGTCATTGAAGTCATAAGATGGTGTTCTGCCAAATTTATTTAAAATAACTAGTAATTGAAATAGTCCATATATGAATGTCCAAATAACAAACTATATTTTAAAAATATTTTAAATCATTTTGACTGAAATTTTTCCAAAATGGATTACTCATATTCTTGTCTTTCTCTTTTGACTTCTTAAATAGAGTAATTGACAATTCAACTTTTTCTTAATGACTCAAAGTAACCCTATGGACACAAAAGTTAGAGAGATAGAATCATAGTTTTAGAGCTGGAAAGGCACTTAAAGATCATCTCAACCAATCTCTTCTTATAAAAAAAAATTATATATATGTTATTTCAGAGAGGAAGGGAGAAACATCAATGATGAGAGAGAGTCATTGATTGGTTGCCTCTTGCACACCCCCTGTGGGGGATCGAGGCCACAATCCAGGCATGTGCCCTTGGACGGAATCGAACCTGCCCCTTCAGTCCACAGGCTGAAACTGTATCCACTGAGCCAAGCCAGCTAGAACTCAGTCTCTTCATATTAAAGATGAGGAACCTGGAATGTCAATGACATACTTCAAAAGCAATATAAACACATTTCATCAAACCAATTTAAACAAGAATACTATGGCCCTGGCTGGGTGGCTTAGTTGAATGGAACACCATCTCTTAAACCAAAAGGGCACATAACTAGGTTTCGGGTTCGATCCCTGGGAGGCAACTGATCTCTCGATCTCTCTCTTTCTCTCCCCTCTTCTCCCCACCCCCCGCCCCCACCCTGCACCCTTCTCTAAACATAACCTCAGGTGAAGATTAATTTTTTTAAAAATTAAGATACTATGCCAAAATATCACTGTGGCAATATTTAAAACACTTAAATCAGTATCTTAATTACACTAAACTTGATAATAAAAATCACACCTACTTTTTTTTTCCACAGAACAGCACATCTTGTAATCTTGCTGTGTAGATTGTTTTTTACCATTCTTCTTTTTTTTTTCCTCAAAAGTTCTCAAAGTTTCCCTAAGATTTTCAAAGTTGAGATTTTCATAGCCTAATGTTGCATTTACCCAATCTAAAAATTCAGTTATAGTGTCACTGTGGACATTACAGGCGTTAAGAAAGAGGGAACAGATACTTTTTTGATCTGGTGACATATCAGACTGTAGAAAGTACGATGGAAATCCTTGAACTTGATAGTTCTTTGATCCCGCAGGCTTTACTTGTACCTTCACTCGCCACCAAGCATCCGTTAATGGAAAATGTCCAGACACTTCACACTTCTCTCCAGTGTTTTCATCAGAAATTACAACTAAAAATAAAAATTAAAAGTTTATTAAGTATATTTTAAAACCTCTTTCCCAATGTTTTTGTTTTTAAACCAAATTCTTCATTCTGTGTAACTCTCCTCCGCACTCCCCTCTGCCCCCACCACACACACACAGCACCTGTACAGACATCTATTAGGGTGTCTATATTCCACTTACCCATTTCTCTGTCTCCATCACTACCCTGTAAGGCTTCTAGCATAGGCAATGTTTCATTAGTCCTTGAGCTCCAAGAGGTAAGCATGGTGCATGGCAAAAGCCTGCTCTTCTAAAAAGTAGTCCTCTCTCTGCTACTTTGACTTCAGCTAAAACTGACCCTCATGCAGTTTCTAAAAAAAAATAAAATGTCATGGTCCCTCCCACCACCAGGCCTTTGAATAAGCTGTTCCATCTGCCTTAGGCATTCTCTTCTTTACTGTTTATCCCATTTATCTCAGCTTAACTATCTTCTTCAGGAAAGCCTTCACTGAATCTCATGAATATAACCTTTCCAGCACAACTTACTATTTCTCCTAAGCACTGAGTAACATTATAGTTACGTCTGTGATTATGTAAAGAATGTCTGTTTAATTCACTAAATTAGCAAGCTCCATTAGGACAGCAACCTTATCATCATATCTTTCCAGGGTATCCCTGCCACAAACACCTTGCTTGGAACATGGTAGTTAATCACTAATACTTTTAGGATAAATTACTAAACTTTCCACAAATACTTGAAAATTGTCTAAGCCTGTGCTGTCCACTCACGTGTAAATATCTAAATTTAAACTACATAGGATATTAAAAATGGCGGCCAAGTAAGTGGATGCTGCTCCCAGGACCAAACTGGAATTACAACTAAAATACAGAAAAACTTTCTGAATAATCAATGGAAAACTTGCAGGAGAGAATCCTGATACCTAAGGACCAAAAGTGGAGACCACATAGACACTGGTAGGAGGGACGGAGGCATGAAAGGGCTGGCTGGGTGCCCACAGACAGCAACTGAAGTCCTGGAGAGAGATCTCATGTGAGGTGGGTTGCCACTGAGAACTGTGGGATCTAATCTCCAAGTTGGGCCCCCCAGCAGAGAGCACTAGAACTGAGAAGGGTACCCATATAACATCTGGCTGTGTAAAGCTGTAGGACTGCTTATCTTCCAGAAAGAGACTGGTGGAAATTCACACACCCTCTTAAAGGGCCAATACACCCATTAAGGTGTAGAGCCACTCACCTTATGCTCCAGCAGAGGGAGGGCAGAGTGGATTGGAGCTGAGTAAGCAGAAGCTAGGAACAGAGGCTCTGGGGTTAGAGCTCAGAAGCTCTATGATGCAGCACAGGAAACGGGTGTCAGAAGGCAGACACCTGTTTCCTGTGCTGTATCATTCCCTCATGCAGCAGAGGTTATCTTTGTTACACAGACATTTGCTATACTGGCAACTTTGCCTGGGGGCAAGGTGTGGCGTTCCTAATGGGTGGTCTCTGGAAGATCTCAGTCTCTGCTTGATCTAATTAGTCAGAAACAGTTTGACACACTGTTCAGAACCAGAGATTGAGAGGTGCAGCAGATCTACCTATATAGAGTCACAAACCCAAACAGACAGCCAAAATGAGACAAAGAAACAACCCCCAAATGAAAGAATAAAAGAATAAGACAAAGGAGAAAAATGAAATGGAGATAAAAAATTTATCTGATACAGAGTTCAGAATAATGATGGTGAAGATGCTCAACAGCATGAAAAAAAAAGATACAGTAACTAGGAAAACAGAAATAAAGAATGACATAGCACAAACAAAGAACACATTGGAAGGAATACACAACAGATTAGGGGAAGTTGAGGCTGGAACCAGTGAATTAGAAGACAGGATTGAAAAAAATCCCTCAATCAGAGGAAAAAAAGAAAAAACAATTAAAAAACAAAAACAAAAACAGGACACCTAAATAAAAAAAATAATAATAAATAAATAAATAGGGCAGCTTAAGGGAGCTGGGGGACAATGTGAAACATAACAATATTATAATAGCAGGTGTGCCAGAAGAGGTAGAAAAGGAGACAGAGATAAAGAACGTGTTTGAAGAACTAATAGCAGAACTTCCCTAACCTAGTAAAGAAAAAAGTCACACAAGTTCAGGAGACACAGAGAACCTCAAGCAAGAAGAAGCCAAATACCCAGACACATCATAATTAAAATGCCAAAAATTAAAGACAAAAAGAGAATCTTAAAGGCAGCAAAAGAAGGCCAGGCCCGGAGCAGCGGTTGCCAGGCTGGGAGCGGCCAGGCCCGGGGGAGCAGGCAGGTCGGGTGCGGCCAGGCCCGGAGCAGCGGCTGCCAGGCTGGGAGCGGCCAGGCCCGGGGGAGCAGGCGGGTCGGGTGCGGCCAGGCCCGGAGCAGCGGCTGCCAGGCTGGGAGCGGCCAGGCCCGGGGGAGCAGGCGGGTCGGGTGCGGCCAGGCCCGGAGCAGCGGCTGCCAGGCTGGGAGCGGCCAGGCCCGGGGGAGCAGGCGGGTCGGGTGCGGCCAGGCCCGGAGCAGCGGCTGCCAGGCTGGGAGCGGCCAGGCCCGGGGGAGCAGGCGGGTCGGGTGCGGCCAGGCCCGGAGCAGCGGCTGCCAGGCTGGGAGCGGCCAGGCCCGGGGGAGCAGGCGGGTCGGGTGCGGCCAGGCCCGGAGCAGCGGCTGCCAGGCTGGGAGCGGCCAGGCCCGGGGGAGCAGGCGGGTCGGGTGCGGCCAGGCCCGGAGCAGCGGCTGCCAGGCTGGGAGCGGCCAGGCCCGGGGGAGCAGGCGGGTCGGGTGCGGCCAGGCCCGGAGCAGCGGCTGCCAGGCTGGGAGCGGCCAGGCCCGGGGGAGCAGGCGGGTCGGGTGCGGCCAGGCCCGGAGCAGCGGCTGCCAGGCTGGGAGCGGCCAGGCCCGGGGGAGCAGGCGGGTTGGGTGCGGCCAGGCCCGGAGCAGCGGCTGCCAGGTGGGAGCGGCCAGGCCCGGAGCAGCAGCAGCCAAGTCCAGAGCAACTAGCTCGGGAGCAGCAGTGACCAGACCCGGAGCAGCTGGTTGTGGAATGAACCAGAGCAACAGAGGCCAGGCCCTGAGCAGCCAGGCCCAGAACAGCTCGCTCCTTGCCTGCCCCTGCCCCACAGCTGCTTCTCAGACATGGCTGGAAACTTTCGTGGGAACTTGAGGGTCTGCTGAATCAAGTGATGAAGGCTTAGATCTGGATGTGTTGAGTTAGTTTAGGACTGGGGTGTTGATCTGTGAGTGCCTTGGGTGGGGCCTGGATGAGGCTGGTGGACCTATTGGGAAATGTCTTTTGTGTGAAGTGTATCATTGGGCATGTGGAGGTATTATTGATATGAGAAAATGCTAAGTAACTGATTTACTATCTGAAAAGGGATTTACTATTGGGGAAATTGAGGGAAGAAGAGACTGAACATAAACTGCACCTATGGATGAGGACAATGGGGGATGGGGAGGGGGCAGAGGGTGAGGTGGGAACCTGGTGGAGGGAGGAAGAAATGAGGAACCTTTGTAATAATATGAACAATAAAGATTGATTTAAAAAAAAAAAAAAATCAATAAAATATATATTTAAAAAAAAAAAAAAAGGCAGCAAAAGAAAAGCAAACTATTACCTATAAAGGTATTCGATAAGGTTGACACCTGATTTCTCATTAAAAACTCTACAGGCCAGAAGGGAATGGCATGAAGTACTCAAGGTTATGGAAATCCAAGGATCTGAAACCAAGATAACTATATCCAGCAAGGCTATCATTCAAAATAGATAGTCAAACCCTAGCAGGTTTGACTCAGTGGAGACTGAAGGGCCTGGGTTTGATTCTGATCAAGGGGACAGGCCCAGGTTGTGAGCTCAGTACCCAGTGGGGGACGAACAGGAGGCAGCCGATCAATGATTATCTCTCATCATTGATGTTCCTATCTCCCTCTCTCCCTCTCACTTCCTCTCTGAAATCAATAAAATATGTTTTTTTTAAAATGAAGGCCATCACAAGAGACAACAAAGATCACTATATAATTCTAAAGGGATCAATCCAACAAGAGGATACAACCCTGATAAACATAAATGCACCCAATATAGGAGCACCTAAATATATTTTAAAAACTTATAGGGGACTTTAATGGAGAGATCGACAACAATACAGTCATAGTAGGGGACTTTAACACTCCACTGACTTCACTGGATAGACCTTCCAGACAAACAATTAACAAGGAAATAGTGACTCTAAAGAACACCTGGATCAGATGGATTTAATAGACATTTATAGAACATTTCACCCCAAAACTGCAGAATATACATTCTTCTCAAGTATACAGGGATCATTCACAAAGCTAGACCACATATTAGAACACAAAACAAATATTTAATGTTCAAAAAATATTGAAATCATATCAAGTATCTCCTCAGATCACAGTGGAATGAAATCAGAAATCAACTACAGTAGAAACACCCAAAAACATTCCAACATTTGGGTTAAATATCATGTTACTAAACAATGAATGGGTAACCAATGAGATTAAAAAAATAAATAAAAATAAAAATAAAAAACTTCCTGGGAAAAAAAATGTAAATGAACAAAGAACAACCTAAAATCTCTGGGACATAGCAAAAGTAGTCCTGAAAGGGAAGTTCATAGCACTACCAGCCTATCTCAAAAAAACAAGAAAAATAAACAATAAACTAACTCTATTACTTAAAAAAAAAAAAAAAAAAACTAGAAAGAGAACAACAAGAAAATCCCAGAGTGAGTAAAAGGAAGGAAATAATAAAGATTGGAGCAGATATAAATGACATAGAGACTAAAAAATATCACAAAAAATGAGCTGGTTCTTTGAAAGGATAAACAAGATTGATGAATCACTAAGTAGACTGATCAAGAAACAAAGATAAATAAAATCAGAAACAAAAATGGACATTGTGGATGAAATGGACAAATTCCTAGAAAAATACAATCTCCCAAAACTGAATCAGGAAGAATCAGAAAATCTGAATAGTCCAATAACAACTGATGAAATAAAAGCAGAAATAAAGAAAGAAAAAAAACTCACAGCAAACAAAAGCCCAGGTCCAGACAGCTTCATGGGGGAGTTTTACTAAACATTCAAAGAACTAATACCCCTATTTCTCAATCTATTCTAAAAAATCCAAGAGGAAGGAACACTTCCAAGCTCTTTTCATGAAGCCAGTATTATCCTAATTCCAAAAGAAGATAAAGACACTACAAACAAAATTACAGGCCAATATCCCTGATGAATATAGATGTTAAAATCCTCAACAAGAATTTTTTTAACATCTATATTCAACAAAATATTAGAAAATCAGATCCAGCAATATATTAAAATGATCATACACCATAACCAAGTGGAATTTATTCCAGGGATGCAAGGCTGGTAAATATTGGCAAATCATTAAACGTGATACATCGCATAAACAAATTGAAAGGCAAAAATCACATGATTATATCAATAGGCGCAGAAAAAGCATTTGACAAAATCTAACACCTTTTTTTTTTTAATAAAAACTTTCAGCAAAGTGGGAAAAGAGGGAGCATATCGCAACATGATAAAGGCCATATATAACGAACCTAAGAACAGAAACAAGACAGGGATGTCCACTGTCACCACTCTTATTCAACATAATACTGGAAGTCCTAGCTACAGCAATCAGACAAGAAATAAAAGGCACAATACCAGATTTCAAATTATACTACAAAGCCACTGTAATCTAAACAGTCTAGCACTGGCACGAGGACAGGCATATAGATCAATGGAACAAGACAGATATCCCAGAAATTGACACAAACTCAATTCATATATTACAAAGGAGGCAAGAGCATACAGTGGAGTCAAGAAAGTCTCTTCAAGAAATGGTATTGGGAAAATTGGACAGATGCATGCAAAAAACTGAAACTAAACCACTAACTTACACAATAAACTCAAAATGGATAAAAGACTTAAATTAAGTCGAGAAGCCATAAAAATCCTAGAAGAAACTATAAGCAGCAAAACCCCAGACATCTCTCATAGCAATATGTTTATGGATACATCTCCCAGGGAAAAAGAAACTAAGGAGAAAATTTAAAAATGACACTACATCAAAATAGAAAGCTTCTGCACAGCAAAAAACAAACAAACAACAACAAAAAAACACCAACAAAATGAAAAGGGAGCCCACTGTACAAGAGAACATATTTAGCAATGATACATCTGATAAAGGATTAATATCCAAAATATATATAGAACTCCTATAACTTAACAAAAGGAAGACAAACAATTCAATTAAAAAATGGACAAATAACCTAAATTGACACTTCTCCAAAGTGGGCATACAGAGGGTCAAGAGACATATGAAAAAATGCTCAAAGTCACTGATCATCAGAGAGATGCAAATTAAAATGACAATGAGGTGTCACATCACACCTGTCATAATGGCAGAATCAACAAATCTACAAATGACAAGTGCTGGTGAGAATGTGGAGAAAAGGGAACCCTAGTACACTGCTGGTGGTAATGCAGACTGGTGCAGCCATTATGGAAAACAGTATGGAGTTTCCTCAAAAAATTAAATATGAAACTGCCAATTGACTCAGTTATCCCACTTCGAGAAATATACCCTAAGAAAAAATGTATGCACCCCTTTGTTTCAGCAGCACAATTTACAATAGCTTAGATCTGGAAACAACTCAAGTGTCCATCAATAGATGAGTAGATAAAAAAGTTGTGGTACATTTATACCATAGAATACTATGCAGAAGTAAAAAAGAAGAATCTCTTACCCTTTGAGACAGTATGGGAGGTCCTAGAGAGTATTATGCTAAGCGAAATAAGCCAGTCAGGGAAAGACAAGTATCACATAATTTCATACATATGTAGCATCCAAGTAACAAAATAAACTGATGAATGGAGTGGATCCAGAGACGTGGAAGCAAGGAACAGCGTGTGGAATCTTGGAAGAAAGGCAGGGGAGGGTGGGTAGATAGGAGATAATCAATCAAAAATCTTGTATGCATATACATGGACACAGACAATAGGGTGGTGAAGGCCTGGGGTGGAGGGAAGGGAGTGGTCCGGAAGGGATCAATGGGGGAAAAATGGAGACATGTGTAATACTTTCAACAATAAAAAGTTATTTTTAATACTAAGGAAATAAAAATTTAAAATTAAATTTTAAAATTTAGGTCCTTAGTTGCACTAGCTGCATCTCAAGTTCTCAATAGCCATATGTGACTATTAGCTATTGTACTAGATAGCACAAATATAAAACTATGCCATCATCACAGAAAATGCCACTGGATGGCATTGGTCTAAATAGTAAAATATTCTAAACAGCAGTCACAAGTATAATTCATAACATAGGAAACTACAGAGGCTAAACACGGATATCAATAGTATTAACACAAGGTTAATGAATTTATGCTACCTTGATGGTGTTTCTTGGGTGCCTGTGATCCCACTTCTAGAAATATATCCTAAGAGATCTGAAACACCAATCAGAAAGAATGTATGCACCCCTATGTTCACAGCAGCACAATTTACAAATTTACAATATCTTAGATCTGGAAACAATTCAAGTGCCCATCAAGAGATGAGTGGATTAAAAAATATTTTAATATATTTTTATTGATTTCAGAGAGGAAGGGAAATAGAAACATAAATGAGAATCATTGATCAGCTGCCTCCTGCACGCCCCTTACTGGGGGTCGAGCCCACAATCCGTGCTTGTGCCCTTGACCGGAATTAAACCTGAGACCCTTCAGTCCCAGGCTGACACTCTATCCACTGAGCAAACCGGCTAGGGCGCCTGTTTTCTAAACAGCTTTAAAAAAAATCACGTATTTGACTCCAGGCTGGATATGAAAATAGTTAAAAAAGCCCCCGATTCACTACTTCAAAGAGTTGTAAACGTTAAAAGAGATAATACACGCAGAGCACAAGCTTAATACATAGTATTTACTCAAGTTACTGCTACTATATTATCAATATAATTTCATCTTCAATAGAACAAAACAGCCAGGCCGTCTCATAGGGAGTCTGTGAATAGAGCTAGGGCGCCTTACCCTAATGTGACCAGATCGTCCCGCTTTTGGCGGGACAGTCCCGCTTCCGAACAATTTTTCCTGCGTCCCGCGGCGTTTTAAAAAAGTCCCGATTTTGGAAAGATTGGATGGATAGAAAGATTCACCCAGAAAGCGGTGCCTGCACCTCCCACGCCACCCCCAGGCTCCCGGGCTCCCTCACCGCGGCGGCACCCCGGGAGGCTGCCGGCCTTGAGGCCCCCACTGCAGAGCTCCTCGGCGTCCACAAACACCGGCTCGTCCTCCTCTTCCTCCTCCTCCTCCAGGCAGTCATCGTTCTCCGGCACCAGGGCCTTGGACGGGAGCAGAGGTCCCTGCAGTTCGCGCAATTGCTTGTTCCTGGAGGCCATAACTCAACTCTGAAACTCAACCCCACCGGGGCAAACCCGGGCAAACCCGGGCCAACCCGGGCTGCGTACGCGCCCTTCATCAGCCAATCAGGTTCGCGGCTGCAAAACCGTCAACTTCCGGGAACGTCAGTGCGGGCGCGGAGGGGCGGGGCTGCAACGAAGCTCCGCCCCCAAACCGCGGGCTGCGCTGTGTGCACGGGGCGCGGGGAGGAGAGGGGAGGGTCAGTGCCCGGGCGGAACCAGGTGGTTGGGAGAAATCGAAATCGGCCCGCTGGGCAGCGGCATGTGTGGCACCTGCTGGGCCGCTAGCCCAGGACATCTCCTTCGGAGACAGAACCACGGGGCAAGGCCACGTCTAGTGAGCCTAGGGAGCCCGGAAAAGCAAGCCCTCCCAACACCCCCAAAAGGAAACCCCGGATGCCCTTCAGGAGGGTGGCCCCCAGCCAAAGCACGGAACTGGGAATCTCCGATCTGAGTCTAGTCCTTACTGTTTGGGGCCTCTGTTTCCTTAAGGACTTGGATTTAGCCTACCCGGTTTGGCTCAGTGGAGAGAGACTGAAGGGTCCCAGGTTCAATTCTGGCCAAAGGCACATGCCCGGGTTGCAGGCTCCATCCCCAGTAGGGGGCGTGCAAGAGGCAGCTGATTCATGATGCTCTCTTATCATTGATGTTAAAATCTCTCTACTTCTCCCTTCCTCTCTTACTAAAAGGGAGAAATATATTTTTATTTCAATAAATAAAGAATTAAAAAAAAAAACAGGAGTTGGATTTCTATCATCAAAAGCAGTTATTCAAAGCGCAGATCTCTAGTCTCCATTCCACCCGTTGTATCTGGATCTGGGGCCAGGGCCCAGCGTCCTGTCTTTTAAGGCAAGTTAAGGTTGTTTATTTTGATGCTCTGCCAGATCTTATTAGGTAACATTCAAAGTCCTTTTCATTTTTTTCTCGGTGAGTACCCCCTGGACTCCCAAATTTCCTTAAGCAGAGAGAAATTTTTGCTCCCCTGTTCACAAGTGTGTGTTGCGGGGGAGGGGAGAGCGGAGGAGGAGGGAAGCATCTACTCTTAGCCCAACCCTACAAAGTCTAGACGGGGATGGGGGAGGAACAAAGTTTTTAAAAATTGTTCTGGGGCCATGATTCTCATACTTAATGGGGCTACTATTTGAAAATCACGGTGCTCTTTAAGGATAAAATATATCACTACATTTCTATTTTGGTGCTACTTATTATGAAATTACTTAAGCATACACTGTTGCTAAATCCAAAGGCTTCTTGTGCTAGCTTCTAATATAAACAACAGCCAGCACCCAAAGGTTTGAGAAAATACTAAAATTGATTCTTCCTCCCATTGGGTACAAATGTCTACTTTTATTGCTTTCAGAAGAAAAATTCTCTGCTGCAACTGACAAAACGCCAGTGTAACCAAGATTCATCTAAAGGAGGATGACTTCCTTCCTTAACACACTCAGCAGCTACTGTTTCCATCACAGCAATTGAATCTGCTGTGTCAAAGGTCACACTGCTGGTCTCTTTGTTGCTAAATCCAATGGATACCCTTTAGCCTTGTCTTCCTTCACCTCTCAACAGTATTTGACACTGAAAACTGTTTTCTTCTTGAGGCACTCAGCTTCCCGGGCTTTAATGACTTGTCTTCTCAGGTCTTTCTTCTGCCCCTCTAGCTATGTGTACTTTATTGGGCCTCCGAAGTACTGATGTTCCCCACGGTTCCATCTTAAGTGCCTTCTCACTCTAATCCTCCCTTCAGTCATCTTTCACCTACTCTGTCACCTACATGCTAATGACCTGCCAAAGTAGATGAGACCTTCAACCTAGACAAGAGTCCGAGGAGGGCCTGTGGCAGGAGCTCTGATACCACCTGTCAATCACTAAAGCCCTACAGGGAAAACCCTCCGTGTTTCCAACAGATCTCTATGGTTGCAACAGCCCCTCCCCTCAGCTTGCTCTTCCCCTCAGTAAAAAGGGACTTTCTGCTTCTTCTTGAGCTTCTGACACCGCAGATTCAATGCTTCTCTCTCACCGTGTCTGCACAAACTGAATTGCAAACCTTTCTTTCTCCTGAATTAATCTTTTCTGTGACAGGATACCTAGCTCTGTTTACAGCCAACACTCCTAACCAGAGCTCCAAACCTGTGCAAACCACTGCCCTTTAGATGCCATATTGGATGCCCCTGTGCTACTTGAAGTTCAAAGCATCCAAACTGAGAGTCCTTCACTGCTCAAATCTGGATCACTTATGTGCATATACCTGGGGCTTCCTTGTTACCAACATGATGATTTGGGGACACAACTCCAGAGTGAAACCTCCATTCATATTACTCAATTACATTCGACTAGATACGGTAGGTGAGGATTTGGGATGATGAGAACCTTGCTTCTTTACCTGTTGTTTCCTCATTTTTCCCCATCCCTTTTTTCTTAAAAAAATAACAAAACAAAAAACATATATATATATATATATATTTTTTTTTTTTTTTTTTGGGGGGGGGGGTCCCAGGACCAAGTAAAGGGCATGTACCTTGGTTGGAGGCACATCACCCAGTAGGAGGCAGCTGATCAATGTTTCTCTCTCACCAAACAAACACCAAACAACATAAACATACGTTTATTCACTATGTAATTTTGGTGGTAGCAAATGATTGGAAACAGGAGAAATGTGCACCAGTAAGAGACTTGTTGATAAACTAGAGTACATCCACGCAGTGGAGTATTCTTCAGCAATTTAAAAAAAGGAAGAAGGAGGAAGATCTCTATGATCTCTGTGATAGGAAGTGTTTTCCACGACACGTTAAACAAGAAAGAGCAGGGCATAAGATAATGCATGTGGTTTTATTTATGTGTGTGTTATTTTTGTGTTTGGGGGGAAAGAAATACAGGAATGAGCTTTAACTGTTTTGGGCTCAGTGGATAGAGTGTTGGCCTGCGGACTGAAGGGTCCCAGGTCCAAGTGAAGGGCATGTACCTTGGTTGGAGGTACATCACCCAGTAGGAGGCAACTGATCAATGTTTCTCTCTCATCAATGTTTCTAACTCTTATCCCTCTCCTTCCTCTCTGTAAAAAAAAAAAATCAATAAAATATATTTTTTTAAAGAAAGACAGGAACAATATACCAGAAATTAATGAAAATAGTTACCTACAAGTAGGGTGGAAACAGGGTAAAGAGACAGGGGTGGCACAAGATCTCTGAGTTTAATCTTTTGTAATGGTTTTGACTTCTGAACCATGTAAATGTCTTTCATATTTAAAAATTAAGAAATAGGAAGTAAAACCTAAAATGGAACACAAACAGAAATAAATGAAACTGTCTATCAAGTGTATAACATAACCTCTCAGGGAAAATAATTTCTTTAAGTTTCTTTTGAAAACTTTGGATAAATATTTTAACTTACTCTGAATATATACTCCTAGTATATAATATTCTGAGGCTAAAAGATCTACAAAGAAATCTTAAACTCATCACACAGTATGGTTAATGTTAGTTGTAATATTGTTACTGAAACTTTGAAATTATGTAGGATAAAGCAGTAAGAAAACATATTCATGTTTTATCAAGTGATGGCTTTGAAAGAAGTACAAACTTAAAATAAAAGAAATTAAAAAAAATTCCTACAATATTAAACTTGAATTGGAAATATCAATATGAGCTTGTTTCTTAAGTTATATTTTCTAGCTCTGTTTACTGGAAGGGCCAAAAGTAGTGTCACCCTACTAACTTTGACCACGTCTAACAATATTATCTTGGTTTGGGAATACCATCCTATCTAATAAAAGAGAAATATGCAAATTAACCATCACTCCACTACATCTACAAGCCACACCCACCAGCCACGTCTACCAGGCCATCAGGAGTGAATATGCAAGTAAACCCAACTAAGATGGCTATGGCCACAGAGTGCAGGAGGGAGGCTTGGGTTTCCCCAGCAATGGAGGAAGCCAAGCTTTCCACCTGCCTTTGCTGGCCTAGGCCTCTGCTTAAGGCTACAAAGTTTCAGTTATAGAAGATACATAAATCCTAACAGAAATGGCTGCTGCCATGGAGCAAGCAGAATGCTTGGCTCCGCTCCAGGCTACAAAGTTTCAATTGTATTAGATAAATAAACCCTAGATACCAAGGCCTCCACTTGGGTCGCTGGGGGCGGGGGGGCAACCTGCAAACCACCACAGGCCCCTTGCCCAGGCAGCCTCACACCCCAAGGGAACCCCCACCCTGATCCGGGACACCCTTCAGGGAAAACCAACTAACCCCCCTCCCTCTGTGCACTAGGCTTCTATCCTATCTAATAAAAGAGTAATATGCAGATTGACCATTACTCCAACACACAAGATGATTGCCCCCATGTGGACACAAGATGGCTGCCACAAAATGGTCAGCAGGGGAGGGCAGTTGGGAGGGACCAGGCCTGCAAGGGAGGGCAGTCAGACATCACTCGAGGGGTCCCAGATTGAAGAGAGTGCAGGCAGGGCTGAGGGAAACTGCTCCCTCCCCTTCACCCCATGCATGAATTTCAATGTCTACAAATATAAAAGCCTAAATGAACGAATTGGCCTACCAGTTGCTATGAAAAGCACTGACCACAGAGGGCAGATGCTCAATGCAGGAGCTGCCCCCTGGTGGTCAATGCACTCCCACAGCAGGAGCGCCACTCAGCTGGTCTACAGGCACCAGACACAGAGTTCACAGCTGCTGGCACACACCTCACCTGATCAGGACTGACTGGGCATGTGCCCAAGGCAGGGGCAGCGGGGCTGGGATGAGCTGGAGCAGCAGGTGGCCTTGGACTGCCGGATTCAGCCCAATTGCTATAGGCCCACACTGAGGGACCCCACCAGTACATGAATCTGTGCACTAAGCCTCCAGTTTCTAACTAAAAGCAATGGAGGCTTCTTAAGAAATGGCTGATTCTGCTTCTGGGACAGGGCAAATACAAGGTGGACCTGGGACTTTTTGTACCAAAAGGCAAGGAAACACTAAGAAATTAAT